ATAACAACCAGGGGCAGAGCAGCTCGCCACTCAGTCTCACGAGCTGCCTGGCTAGAGCAGCACCCCAACCCCCAGACCCAAAGAGACCGGCCACTAGATGTATTGCCAAGTGCAGCTACTTCCCATTCACTTTAGAAGGGATATCCTGACCTTCCCAGACCACTGGACACCTGGACACTCACCATGCAGCTTGACCCTGAACTTAGCTGTCTCTATGACCTTCGGGCTTGTACCTGTCCTACAAAGGCACCCACAGTTCCTACTATTTCCTGTTACCAGCCCATTGCCATGAACGGACCAGCATGCTATTTTGCAGGATTTCAAGATTGTCAAGGTTCCTCTGAACAAATGGACAGAACTCTGAAGCAAGACAGTGAAGATACGAGGCTGTCCCTGCAATAGAAATACAAATTGCTTTTGACTTCTCCTCTGACGGGAATGGGAAAGAGAGCCTTTATCAGGTCAATCAAACACTATGGTGAATGCCAAAAATCCATGTGCAGAGCTGCAAACTTCAGACTTCAAACTACAGTCCGACCACTCCAACATTACTGTAGCATTGTCTAACTTGAAGACATACATATTTTACTATATAAGTATATTTTGCCATTTGTCTATGCTTAGTAACAAATTTGCATTTTTTATTTGATATAACAAAGGCTTTGATGTAATTTCTCTTAGATTTTGCATTTTTTCATTATTATTATGCTTAACCTCAAACATTATTGATTCTTATATCATTGCATTAGTATTATGAATAATCACATGAAATGTTGTGAATATAATTATAGGGCTTTTTTTTTCATTTAGTAGGAACCTTTCCATCATTGTGGAAAACTAAGAAAATTTCTTCCCGCTGTATAATCTGGCATTTGTAGCTTAAAGTTTATTTTTCTGTGAATAAAATGTACTCAATAAATGCTTATATAATTATATCAAAATGGATTCTGCTGTCATGTATGACTAAAAAGAACCAATAAATTAAAAATATATTCAAAAATGCAAATAAAAAGATGAAAAAAACTATGGTGTTTAGAAATGAAATATTTGGGAGGTGATTAGGATTAAATAAATTCACCTCAGTGAAGTCCCCGTGATTGGATACAGGTGACTTTATAAAGGGAGGGGGAGGGGAGATCTCGGAGGATACCCATCCTTACAAGCGTGGTTCTCACCACGTGATGCTCTGCCCTGGCTTGGGACTCTGCCAGCAAGAAGACCATCCTCAGCTGCTGCCCTTGCTCCTGATGTAGACCTGCGAAACAAACCTCTCCTCTTTATACTCCTCCACTCTGGTACTGTGTTATTAGCAACAGTGACTGGATTAATAGAAGGCGAATGCTCTGTTTTAATCAGATCACAGATTCATCTTTTATGGGCACATTCAAGTATAAAGTGACCACTTTATTGCTTAGGGCCTGGGAGTTGCAGAGGAAGGTAACGTCATTTATATATTTTAAATGAATTTACATAAGCAGCAAAGGTTCAGTATGGTACATGATAATGTCTTTTCCCTTGGTAAGTGCTTGGAACAGCAAACTCAACAGCAGCAATTAATGTATCCTTCAAAAGACTCTCTGTAATCAATTAACTCATGACATTTGACTATTCAGTTTATTATTAAACCAAATTTAATATTCACCTCAAAACTGGTTTACCATTATCAAATCCACTAAAATGTCCTACTGAAACAATTTTCCAAGGTGAAAAAAAAATACAAAGATTCAAGCTGGGGACATGTTGGCTTCTTAAGAGGGATTTTAAGATTGTAGATCTTTGTCTCTTCCCAGCAGCTCTCTGAATATGACCCCAGTTTCCTCATGTTAAAATAAGGGCATTGCACAGTCTGGCTGGCTCTGTGGGGCTAAGGTTCCGGTGTCCAGGATCTGCCTATTTTTAGCCCAAGGCATCTTAGGGATGAGGCCAGAATTCCAAATGAGGTTCAAATTTGCAACAACACTAGTGGCCCAGGTACACAGTCTCAGAAAAAGACTCCAAAATGACTTAAAATTAACACATCATACCAAACTTTTTGTTTTATAAATGAGAAAACTTAATTAAGGAGAAATTTCATGTTTTCTCCTGATTAACCTACTTATCTTTCAAAATTCAGTTCTGAGCTGGAGGTACATAGCTCAGTGGCAGAATGCGTGCCTAGTAAGTGGGAGGTCCTGGGTTCCATGCCCAGCACTGCAGAGAGGAAGAAGAGGAAGAGGAAGAGGGAAGGAAGAGGAGGACATGGGGGGGGGAAGAGAGAGAGAACTTGAGAGACTGATTTAATTTAGCCATTCACCCAGAAGATACAGCTGACCACTCCCTACTGTCATCAACATCAAATATTCACTTTTGTCAGTTATCTGCCAGTCCCTGTTCTAAGCACTTAGAATTCATGGTGCACAATGGAGATGAAAATCCTTGCTCTCAAGTGGCTTATATTCTAGGTGGTGGGGGGAGGGCGGGAGGCACTGCACTGTAAATGTAATAAGTAAATCATGCTGTATGTGGAAGGGAGCCAGTACTAGAGGGGGACAGAAAAGGATCATGGAGATCAGGAGCACCAAGAGTGGGGATGGCTGAGTTTGTGTTTGACTTATTTATTTATTTAGTTAGTTTTGAGTTTGAGATTTTTACATAGTGTGATAGCCTCATAATGAGGTGAAAGTTGATTTAAAAAAAAAAAAACACTTATAGGAGATGGGGAAACGAGACAGGGAGTATCTGGAAGAAGAACGGCAGGGTCCCACCCTGTGAACGTTCTCCACCAGTTCAGGTCACAGTGAGCAGGCTCTTGAGAGATAAGGCTAGGGAAGCTGGTCACACAGAGCCCTCGGGGCCACCACAGAGGCTTTTACACTCCAGGGTTTGAGTAGAGCAGTGACATGATCCAACTTCTTCCCTGCAGGCCCACCTGCTCTGGTTGCTGTGTGGGGAATAGAACATGGTGGACAGGAAGAGAAGTTCCGAAAGCCGGTGGGGGCTGTTGCAGCCCCTCAGGTAAGAGGCCACGACTGCTTGGACCCAGGGCCGTAGCGGAGGTCGGCTCTGTCCTGAAAACACAACAGGGTGAGCTAAGAGATGAGATGACGCTAATGGGTAAACATGAGTAAAGTGTTTCCTTGAGTTTTGTGAGCAAACAAATCAACAGGGTTGTGGGAACTCCTGATTTATACCTGTCGGAAGTATAAGTGACAACCTACCACTTGAAACTGGCAATTTGAAGGGAGTGGGGTGTGGTCAGAGTCTTGTGATTCTGAGCTCTTAACTTGTGGTATCTGACACTATTTCCAGATAGAATTGGAGGACATTCAACTGCTGGTGTTCACTGCAGAACTGGTTGGTGTGTGGGGCTTCTCCCACATCTGATGTCTGAAGTATTGAGCGTCTGCATAAGAGGTAGTTGGTACTGAAAACCAGAGTGGGAAAGTGTTTTTCCCACACTGTGTAACACATTGCTGCAAACTTAGCAACTTAAAACAATACACCCTTATTCTCTCACACTTTCCATGGGCCAGGAGTCTTTAGCTAGGTCCTCTGTTAAAAGTTTCACAAGGCTGCAACTAAGGTGCCAGGTTGTGTTCTCATCTGGAGGCCCCAGTGAGGAAAATCTGCTTCCAAGCTCATTCAGGTTGCAGACAGTTGGTTTATTTGTGGTTGTAGGATAAGGGATCTAGCTGTTAGCTTGGAGCACCCCGCCATTCCCAGGGGTCACTCACAGTTCTTTGATGTCAACTCCTTCAACACTTCCACCCTGTTCATCAAGCTGTAACGAAAGTCTTCATTGTAACATAAAGCAATCACAGGCTGACACCGTATCACCTTTGCTTTATTCTATTAGTTAGAAGCAAGTCTCTGGACCTGCACACTTAAGTGCCTGAACACCAGGAAGTGGGACACACTCGGGATCACAGTGACCTGTATCATTAGAAGTGTGTGTGCCCCCCATCTCAACAATTCTGTCTCCTGTTAGCTCTGGCATAGCATGGCTAGTGTGACAAAAGAACTTCATTTTCTTTTTTAATTTTTTTTTTTTTTAGTTGTTGACAGACCTTTATTTTATTTATTTTTTATGTGGTGCTTAGAATCAAACCCAGTGCCTCACACATGCTGGGCAAGAGCGCTTCCACTGGGCCCCAGCCCCTGCCCCAGCCCTAAGAACTTCATTTTCAATTTAAAGAAATCTAATGATTAATTTAATTTAAAAACCCATAGTAAACTCAGTTTCAGGAAAAAAAAAATGTTTGTGTAAGTAAATGAGACTTCTTTTTCAACTGTAAATTTTATAAAACTAGATACAGATCAAATGTCTCCACTGAAAACTCAGTGTTTAAACAGTATGATTGATGTTAATTGTAAAGATATACACCAAGTTTCAAAGACAATACAAAAACCAGAAATCTCTTAAATAATTTCCAAACTGATGTTGAAATGATAAGATATATTATTAAAAACAATTTTATCTGCTTGTACTTATTTTTGAAAGAAACAAGTTACCAGAGGATTTTAAGTTGCACACGTGGTTCAAATTCTATTGCTGAGCAAAAATAAAGAGGTGCTGAGCTTACACTTGGCAAGACACCAATGTCAGCTAATAGTGCAAGGAAACACCTGATTAATGATAGATAGGACACTGTGGAGGGCTCAGAGGGGTGCAGACGGGCTCTCCAAGCGCTGGGAAGGTCTCAGGAGAAGGCCGACCTGTTGCTGACACACCCAGCAGGACGTCCCGCGCCAGCAGCTGCTCCGCGGGCTCTTCGCCCGGTGCCCGCTGTGAACGCGCGGCGCTGCTTGACCCTCGCGCAGCGCCGTAGGCCGCGCTGCACGCCGGGCAGCCGCGATGGCGGACGTGTCGGAGAGGACGCTGCAGGTGTCGGTGCTGGTGGCTTTCGCCTCCGGAGTGCTCGTCGGCTGGCAGGCGAACCGGCTAAGGAGGCGCTATCTGGACTGGAGGAAGCGGAGGCTGCAGGACAAGCTGGCGACGACGCAGAAGAAGCTGGACCTGGCCTGAGTGGACGCCTCGCGATGCACGCGCGCGCCCTGCTCCCTAGCCCTCCCGCCCGCGGGGCCGGCCCTTCCCCAGCGTCGGTGAGCAGAAGGACCGTGGGGCCTGGAGCCGCGGTAGGCTGGGGCCCCGGGAGGGAGTTGCTTCCCTCCCCAGAGACCAGGAGGAGTAACTTTGCTGAGTACTAGCGCTTGGGTGTAATAGTTGAGCTCCCTGCGGGGGTTTGGTGGCACTGACTTGCCACATGCAGTGTCACCGCACCCTGACATCATTAAAAGTGAAAAATCCCGGAAAGAACGACAGGGGAAAAAGGAAAGGCCGTGGGAACCACGGAGATGCCTCTTGCACCTGCTCCCCCTCCGTCCATCCCCGTGGCTCCCGGGGGACCTCTTTGCATTAACGTTTTGTAAATTCCAGTCAGAAAACTTAGGTTGTGGGAAGTTGGTGAACAGGAAAGAGCAGTGGTCTGGAAGTCAGAATCCTTGCATTTAGTCCAGACTTTCTCATCAGCGCTATTTGTCATAGATTTTCAGGACCTCCGTTTCCTTTTAACAGTAGATCTTAATAATTCAGGGTTTAAAGCTACAGCATAATTATTTGAAGTTAAAGAGTGTGTTACTAACCTTTTCTTTTTTTCTGTTTCCAACAGCTTGCTGAAGAGGGATGTAGAATACCGGAAAGAAATAAGTTCTTGCACTTTATGAATCTATTTTTAAAATAAAAAAAATTTAAATATCTTTGAACCTTTTTTTCTTTAAGGGAAAGGGATCTTTTGCCTGCTGTTAAGTTTGCTGTATGAAGAGATTCTGGATTCTTAAGCTTATGCATTAGCAGTTTTCAACAAGTAACTTCTTTCCTATGGAATCTATGCGGGGTCGTTGGTACAGCCACAAGGCAGAGTTCACCAGGGAACCATTATGGGTCCTTTTGTTGGACCAGGAAAGCAAGGGTCTGTGTACACATAACTGAGGTGAGGATGATGTATGTAAGACCTTTGCACTTCAGAGATTGACAGCGTACCAAGTACAGAGTAGACATTTCTATTGGCAGAAGTCTCCTGTATGTCTCATTACGGAATATACATGTGAACAAGAAATGTTATCGAAAAGAGCTTGGTGATAAATTCTGTAAATCAAGAGTGAGTGACTAGGTCCACGGTTACTTTTTATTTGCAAGTGATGCTTTCTAGCACATCACCCTTGCTCATTCTTATAAAGATGACTTTTGTGTCTCAGCTCCATAACAACATAAGGAAATTTAGAAAAGGTGTTCCTACAGAAAGTCTATTAAAGTCACACTACTTCCAACTTTGTTCTTTTTCATTCTGTGAATGCAGTACATAAGGACCCAAAGGATGGTTCTTAGAGCTTCATCCTGTCGGCTCCAGTTAGCTGAAGCTTTCCAGTTACCATCTTTCATTGAGGCTCAGAGTTAAAGCTCTTCGAGACACAGTAGGTTTCTTGAGGTACAAGTTGCCCTCCAACTACTGGGATGTTCCTGGTTAAGTATCTGGGTTCTGACAAGTTCTGCCTCTGGACCTGTTCCTGTACCCTGTTCCTGGTGGACCTGGTCTTTCCAGGTTCTTTCCTCATTGCTTGCATGCAGTGCCCTGGTGTACTCAGCCCCCTCTCCTGTCCCATATCTGGGCATCCCTGCCTATGGGCTTGTGCTGCTCATTCCCAAGTCCCTTTGTTTCCCATGGGTCTTCACCCATTGTGTGCCACTCCTAATCTCATTTTCTGTGCCTATTATTTCTTTATGCTCTATGCACATGTGTCCCCTTGATATTCTGTCACCTTTTTCTTACCTTTACTCAAATTAGTTTTTCTCCCCTGAAATGCTTTCTCACATAGAGGCAGCACCCTTTGCTATGTTAACCAAAACTGGAAACAGGAGGTTGGGAGCCAGGAGTCACAAAAGTAGATATCCTGGATATGACATACTGCTGACTTGAAATAAATACCCCACCCCCACTTGCCATGCCATTTAATCACAACATCTATTTGTCTTGATTGACTCGCTCTTCTATCTTGTCTTCTTTCTGCCCCATATGGGCTTCTCAGACCACCTGCATTCCACATTGCTTTAGCTAAACCCTGGATCTTCTTTTCAACAGACTTGGACCTCATCTCATACTTGGCTTCTTTGATGTCAGCAGCTGAAACCCTCCTTGTTTAGGTCAGCTGACATCAGTAAAAGTGCCAACTCAAGACCACTGGTTATCCTATCCTCCAGTTCACCTTGTCAGTCATCCTGGGCTTCCTTATCACATTAGACTCCATCCCCACATTTACCCCTCAACACTGTTGTTGCCACCAAACTTACCAGAGGAAGACACTTCACCTTTCTCATGTGGCCTACCGTAAGTGGGTTCTATTGTGTATCCTTCTGGTGTCCCAGTAATGTTTCTTCCCAGTGTATATCTCATTCCTAGGAGATTGCTCTCCATCATATGAGAAGATAAAGGCCATGAGGTGGGAATTCCCTTAGCTCTCAATGATCTGACTAGAGCAGTGGTTTTCAACAGGGCTGTCCATTAGGATCATCTAAAGAATCTTCACAATATGAATCCCTGAAATTTTGCTGCATGTAGTTGGTCTGGGCGTTAGGATTTTAAAGCTCCCCAGGTAACTCTAATGCTCAGCAGAGGCTGAGACCCAGTGGTTCAGGCTCTGTTGCATGATCTTTCCTTTACTGTTGGGGACCGCAAATCAAGTCAAGATGGTGCCTGGCAGTTTGCCAGGAGGAGTGGTTTGTGAGGCAACGCCACCGAGCCATTAAGATGATGGGAATTCCTTATTGGCTGATTGCTGTATCTGGATGATACTAATTGAGTCAAGATGTGTGTAATCAGTTAGGTGTATGTATACCGCTGTTGTCCCGCAATAAAGCAGTTCCCGCTTCAACCTTTAAGTTGCTTGTCACCTCCTGGTCATTTTGCCCAGCCGGACTGCCGCACTTTACTTGGAAAGCAGATGTAGGGGCCCCTTCATAGGCTATCTCCTCTCTGGTCTCAGTTGTATCTGTATCTACCCTGGGCCTTCAATCTTTCCCAGCTTTCCCTTAGTCACAAGAACACAGATCTTGACTTAAAATTCCTTTTAGTTGACCAACTTGAGAATGAACATACTACAACTAAGTACAGCGTCTTACAAACACAAGGTTGACACAAGAATTCTGTACACAGCATAATTCCATTATATTGTCCAAAAGGAAGCAAAACAAGTTTGTAGTGTTTACTTTTGGTGGTGGTGGGGGATAAGGGTGGGTAAGAACTAGGAGAGGAAGAACTGTTAGGGTGCATGTAATGTTTCTTAATCTGGGTGCCATTACATGGGGCATACAGTGAAGATTCAGGAAGCTGCATGCTTTCATTTTGCACTTTTTTTTTTTCTGGGTACTGGGGATTGAACTCGGGTGCTTTACCACCAAGTATGTCTCCAGTTCTTTTTAATTTTTTATTTAAGATAGGGTCTTGCTAAGTTGCTGAAGCTGGCATCTAACCTGTGATCCTCCCAGTTCTGCCTCCCAAGTTGCAAGCAATATGGGCAGTACTTGGCTTTATGGACTTTTCTATCATTTTTGACGAAAGAAGTATATAATAAAAATGTGACAGTTTGGCCTGACCTGTGGAATCAACTTATGTGTAGTTCTGAAGAACACACACTTATGTGGTCCATCATTTGGGAGGTTAGCTGGGTCTGTCATTCTTGCTCAAGTACAATGTTGCCACAGTGGAGTTTGGGGATTGGATTTACAGAATTCAGCCCCGCTTGGGGAATTATTATTACCAGCTTCCTAAGGGTGCATGCAAACTGGGGATCAAGGTGAGGATGTATTATTTGCTCACAGACTTGCTTGGAACAGAATCACCATCCTCCCAGAATTCAGATGGACGACGTGCAAAATCAGAATGGAGAGAAACTACAGCCGTATCCCAGAAGACAAAGAACTAAAAAGTTACTCTGAAAGCAACAGTATGCGCCAAAATCATGCACCCCGTGAAGGCTACACTGGACAGTTCTTGTAGTTATGAAACTGTTAAAACGCTCAAATCGCATCTTAAGATTTGCTCAGTGAGACTGGCATGAGTCAACAGCATAAAACAGCACCCCAGCCCGAGGTAATAACGATACGCTGTGGCACGTGTAGTTTCGCACACCGGGGGCTTCGCAAATCGGCTACAGCGGCGGGCGCGCTACCGCTCTCGCCTTCTTCCCGCCAGCAGTCGGCAGGTGGGCGGGGCTAGAGGGCGGGCGCGGCGTGGCGTCATCTTCCGGCGCCGCCTTAGTCTCCCTGGCAACCGGCGCGCGCCGGGTGCCGGGGCCGGGGAGATGCTGCCACGCCGGCCGCGCGATCCGCTGCAGGCGGTGCGGCGCCGCAGTCAGGAGCTGAAGCAGCAGGTACGGTGGGGCCGGGCGCACCCCGGGGTGGGCGAGGGGGCGCGGGGCGCCGCAGCGCTTTCCTCCCGGCGACCCCACGCCCTGGGAGCCGGCGTCCGACCCAAACGCTCGGCACCCGCGACCTCCCCGCGCCAAACCCGGCTCCAGCCCGCGCTGCGCCCGGCCCGGCCACCCGTGGAACCTCCTGAGCGTCCACGACAGACCGCGTCCCCCGCCCTGACGGCCCCCAGCCGTCGGGTTTGCAGCCCAGGGCTGCGCAGGAGCCGCCCTACCCGCGCCCGCCCCGCGCTTTCCGGGTCCCTGTCCCTGGAGCCACCGCTCCTGGGGCCCAAGCCCCAGGAAGAGTCCTACTGTGTCAGGACTGCAGGACCTGAAGAGCGAGTGTCCTAGAGGACACACAAGTGATGTCAGCATGAAAGTTAACTTCAAAGATAAACCAGTGGCAAAGGAGATGAACTCTCCCAAAGACTGTGAAAGTGGCCACACTCAGTCTTGGGGAAGGCGTGGCCGGCCTGCCACCTAGACTCGCTGCCCCGCGGTGTCGGGTTCAGCTTTCTGGAAAGCACTGTGACGAGGCGTAGCCGATGTGCATGCGCCCAGGCGCCCAGGTAGAAACCTGCCCTATGTAATAATGAAACGTTGGGACAGAGATCGATAGTAAAAGTACTGGTCTCATTGCTTAATAGAAAAAAATGATACGCTTTAATGAGAAGTAATAGGGGAATGAATAACTTTCGATGGGATATAATAATACTGTGACTAAACTTTTGTTAAATCTTAATGTGTTAGGGGAAATATTTGTGATCAAATGGCAAGTTAACAAAAACAAAACGGAATAAAAGGTATCTTAATGACGTTTTTCTATATATTGTACATGAAAAAGATATAAAAGAAAACATGCTGAAATGGTATCTCTGTGGTGGAATGCTGGGAGTAGTGTTTTTTCTCATTTTTAAGTACACCGAATGCCTATGCCTTTTTTTTTTTCCCAGTACTAAGATTGAACCCAGGTGTGCCCTATCACTGAGCCACATCCCAGCTTTTTAATTATTTATTTATTTTTATGGCACTGGGGATCAAGTCTGGGACCTTGTGCAAGCTAGGCATGTAAGTGCTCCACCACTGAGCCACATCCCTAGCCCTTTTTATTTTTTATTGTGACACAGAGTCTGGCTAAATTGCTGAGGCTGGCCTTGAACTTGTGATCCTCCTGCCTTAACCTCCATAGTAGCTGGGATTATAGGTGTGTGCCATTTCATCCCAGGTCTGTTACCTTGCAAGAAAAAAAAAAGTAAATAGCAATTAGTAGGTTCATTTTTTTAGATTCTTTATCAGTTTGCTAATTTTATTTTGTAAAAAGGGATCTATTGCCAAGATTTTTACTCTAAATAAAATTATTTTATAATATATCAGTTAAAAATAAGCCAGGCTCTGTGATGCAGGCCTGTCATCCCAGTGGCTCTGGAGGCTGAGGCAGGAGGATGGTGAATTCAAAGCCAGCCTCAGCAAAAATGAGGTGCTGTACAACTCAGTGAGACTGTCTCTAAATAAAATACAAAATAGGGCTGGGGTCATGTGCTCCTGAGTTCAATCCCTGGTACCTAAAAAGAATTTTAAAAAATAAATTTTAAAATGAACCAAAGAATTTGGCACATAAATATTTAAGTGACTTTATATTGGAATCCCAGTGGTACAGCAAAAGCAAAATTGTCTCCTGGTAGAAATGAAAAATAAAACTTGATGGAGTACTGACTTACTGGTAACTTACTGTGGATCTGCATTTAATTTTAAATTTAGTGGGACATTAAGAAAACCAGGACATTTTTCAAAAGTAAACTATAAAAGCAATTGGTAAAGCAAACATAAAAGATGATTACAAAATTATTCAACTTGGAGACAAATTGACTCAGGAGCCACTTGATACCTTGAATATCTGGAAAGGACGTTTTAATAGTATTAGCTCATTCTTATATCCACAAAGGAGACCTGAAAGAAAGCGGACGGGGCTGGGGATGTGGCTCAAGCTGTAGCACGCTGGCCTGGCATGCGCGGGGGTGCGGCGCTGGGTTCGATCCTCAGCACCACATAAAAATAAAATAAAGATGTCCCCCGAAAACTAAAAAATAAATATTACAAAATTTCTCTCTCCCTCTAAAAAAAAAAAAAAGAAAGAAAGTGGAATAAATTTCCAGCATGGTATCCAGGGGACAAGGAATCAGCTTCCTATTTGGGTCACTTGAGTGTATGAATTTTATAAATTAACTCAGGTGGATGCCAAATAATAAGGACAGAGAAGAAGCTAGTGGAATTTACTTCTTTTTTATCTATCTTTTCCACATAATCTGCAGAAAAGAAACCAAAGAAAGGTGTGCCTTTTTGGAGGGGTACATTGACAAAGATGCTTGTAGTCTTTAGTAACACAGGAAGTCAGGACAAAGTCATGGTATGTTCGTTGCAATGAATACCACTTGGTAATAAGGAATAAACTCATGATACAACAGTGTGGAAGCATAACATTACATGGTTCATGTAGACAAGAGTTCATACTGTACAAGTTCATTTATATAAAAAAGTTCAAGAGCAGGCAAAACTTAGGGTGGAAAAAAATCAAGACAAGTTTGTCTCTGGAGGAATGGGATGGAATTTACTAGAAAGGACACTGGAGTTCTATGAGGTTTCAGTTATAAGCACACATGTTTGTCAAAATGCAGCAAATATACCTTTTAGGTTTGTGCATGTCTTTGTATGTTTTATATCAAATATTCAGCTCTCTGGTTAGTGGTACCTACAGCACATTATTTAGGGGGCAGTGTATTGGTGACTGTGGTTGACTTCAAAATGCATAAAAATAAAGTGGGTTGATGGATAGATAGACCAAATTAGTACGGTAAAATGTGAACAGTAGAATTGAGGTAGTGGCATATAGGTATTTGCTATAAAATTCTTTCAACTTTATCGTATGCCTAAAAGTGTTTATTTCCTAAGGGGAGAAAAGTAAATTTTTATTTCCGAAGACAAGACATAACTGAAATGTAAGTATCATAACTTAATATGATGTTTTAAACTGTCTCCATTTGCCATAGGTTGATAGTCTGCTTTCTGAGAGCCAATTGAAAGAAGCTCTAGAACCTAATAAAAGTCGAGATATTTACCAAAGGTAAAGTATGCTCAATTATTGGGTTTTCTCGGGACTACACTTATATCTCAATGAGTTGGATTTAAGGCACAGAAGTTGTTTGAGACTTTCTTGCCCTCTTTCCCTTCCTTTCTTGCTTTTTCTTTTTATTTGTCTACTTTTCCCCCAAAAGACAAAATAATAATGATAGATAATATTGAGGTAACAGTGAATAAGATTTTCTAAAATGTACTTTTAAATATTTCCTTTCATTATCTATATCTACCTGGTCTTAATTTGAAATGATAAGATCAAATAAAGAATAGTAAATATTAAAGAGAAGCACCCTTCATTTATTTTATACTCTGTATGTGCCAGGCATTATAGTCTGTACTCCTCAAACTTTTTCTTAATTTTGTCAATAATACCATAAGGTACTTATTAACATAAATAAGAAAATCAAGGCTCACAGCAGTTAGTTAATGCATCTAGCATTACTTGGCTTTAAGACACTGAAGTTGGGAGCCTATGAAAATGTTTTAAAGTGGCTAAGAAATGCAGAATTCCTTGAAGCAAGGGAAGGCACTTGACGAGAATCTCAGTGGTGCAGGGTTTGGTCCATTACAACCAAATGGAAGGATTGCACTGTGATGTCATGAAGGTCTAGAAGGAACCAGCTACACCTAGTGGTTGTGGGCTTGTTGCTATTGTGCAGCAAGTAAAATCTGCTCAGAGTGCACTGTGGAGGCTCACGCAGAATTACCTAGACCCTTGGCTCGTGTAGCCCAGATTCTTCTATAAATGATCAGAAATCTTGCTAGAAGCAATTTGTCTTTGCTTGGGATAATGACCTTTAATTTTCTTGAAAAGATACGGTGTTCTCTATATGAGTAAGTAGTTTCTGGTTTTAATCCCTGGGAAATTTTAACATTAAATAGACATAACAAACTTAACTGAACTAGACTGCTAACACTTTTGCATTAAGTTCAGAACATCATTAAGTTAATTTACATATTTGGGGATGTTTGAAGAGTTTATAGCATTCAGAAGAACATGAGAAGGGGCACCAGGAGATAAACAGTAAATACTTAAGTAATAAGACCATGGGGAAGAAAAGAGCATGGGATTCATTCTATTAACTTAAATTATTTATTTAAAAGTTTTACTTAAGCCAGGAATTCAGAGTGCCTAAAGGCAAAGTAAAATATAAATAATTTTTAAAATGTCAAATGGAATTTAATTTACCATTATTGGCAAGATTGATTGTTTAAGGAATTTTTTCAAATTAAGTTAATTAATAATAGTGAAGAAAATAATGAAGGTAATTGTGCTTGCTTTGCTAGATTTAAAAACAAAATAATATTTACAGGCTATATTTGAAGCTTTGGGGAAAGCTAAGTTTTGAATTTTCTTTTAAAAAATAATAAGTGTTTAAGGGGGGAACGGATCTCAGGCCCCTTTGCCACATGGTTACATCCCTTGTTCTTTTTATTTTTTTTCTTCTGAGACAAGGTCTTGCTAAGTTGCCCTGGCTGGCCTCAGACTTTCAATCCTCCTGCCTCAGCCTCCAAAGTTGCTGGGATTGTAGATGTGTGACACCCTGCCTGGGAATAATAAGTATTTTTAAGCCATAATTAGCTTGTGTATAAAATGATCCCTTCACAGTCCCTTAAAAATTCACACTGATGTTTGCAAGTCTGAAAATGTCGTTTTACCCTTATGTTTAGCTGGTTATAGAATTTAAAATAATTGCTACTAAAACTTTTGAAGGCATTGTTCAGTTTTCTTTGCATGCAGTGATGCTGGTAAATCTTATTATTGTTCCTTAATAATTAGCCTGTTGACTTTTCAGCCTTGGTGTTTTGAAATTTTAGCACAATATATTTTGGCATTGTTTTTATCTGTTTAACACCAAGTGGATAGTTTCAGTTTGAAAACTCATATTTCTCATGAGCTCTGGGAAATTTTATTTTACTAAAGATAATTTCTTTACTTCCATTTATCTATTTTTCCTGAAATACCTTTGAGTCGGGTATTGAATATCTTGGATAGATTGTCTAGGTTTCTAAACCTCTCATGAATACCTTTTGTTGCTTGTCTTTTTGCTTACGCCTGGAAGATTCTCTTTTTTTTTTTCTCCTAAATGGAATTGTAATTGAGGATTGGGTAACAAATACTGATAGTATTTTGTGTAGCAGCCACAATTAAGTCCATCAGATATTCCAAATAAAACACTAACAAAAATTTTTATAACTTCTATGAATGTTTTATTTTACTAATCATGTTGTTCATTTACTAGTGTTTTTTCTTGTTCTCAAATTGTTCTTTTTTTTTTTTAAATACTCATATTCCTGCTTTCAGAGTTTCTCCTTCCACGCTTAGGTTTGTTTTTAAGTTCTCTTCTATTCTTTGAATTGTCTTTGCTTCCTTGGTGCTCAGATTCCTATTTATTTATTTATTAGTTTTACATTTTATCCTTATGTTGCTGGTTTTCTTTATTTAGTCTGGTGGCCCTTTGCTATTCATTTTTATTTAAAAATGTGAGCCTGGGTTGGTTATTCTAGAGCACTCCCTCAGGTTCTTTCACTGTGGCATATCTTGGTGTCTTTCCTGTTAGCACTATATGCTGAATGCAAATCAGTTTTTTGCAGGTGGAAAGGGCTCATCATGGGGTCAGAGGAGCCCTCAGTGCAGGAATAGGTGTGCTGGAAAGTTCTTTAGCAATTATGATTCTCCCCAAATCATTATTTATTGTTATTATTATTATTATATTTAAGAAGAATCTTCTGGTTCAGTGGGAGAAGAGAGAGAGAGCTAACAGGCTCAGGATTTCTGTAAATAAACTTTAAAAAGTTAGTACAATTATTACAAAAGAGCCTTAACTAAATCTAAACTTAATGAGAATCTTTGCTCTTTCCCTGAGTAATACAAAGATCCCGGATGGCTTTAAGACTGATTTCCCTAAACGTGCACCCATGGTGCATCTTAGACAGACCTTCATGATCCTGGAGTGTTCTGCCGGGTGTCCCTTGTGCCTGTGTGACCTCTTTCTCACTTGATAGAAGACATGCTTCTGTTTTTTCCACGAAGCAGAAATTTGTTGCGCTCTCTTGCTGGCCCATGATCCTTTCCCATTCTTTGCTGTTTGAGGTTATTCCTTCGAAAACACTTTAGTCATTTTTTGTTCAGTTTCAGGAGGCAGAGAAGATGGGTGTGTGCTTAGTTTTTATCCTGAACCAGGAGTCTTAAATATCTGGGCTGTTTGAGGATTTGATAATTTTATAGATATTAAGGAGATAATTATAATTATTTTCTTGGTTTGTGTATTATAAAACAATCATTTTGCACTCTGGCTTTCAGTGAGATTTCTGAGTTCTTTCATTCGAGCAACAGGACACCTGTCAAAATAAGCAGCTTTACTAAGTCTCATCTGACAAAACTCTGCTGCTGGATTCTCCGGGGTAGGTCAGTGGCTCCTGATGTCCCAAGACCAGCTATTGGTGACATTCTGTCTATTCTGCCAGCCTCAGCTTGTTGATGATGTCTGTCCTCAGAATTGCAAAGTCCTTAGGGGGCAGTATTTAAGAGCAGGAAGGGGAGGGGGTTTCTTAATGCCTCGCTGTAGAGGCTGGGGGCAGGGGGCATCCTGAACATGCTCTTTTATGTTCTGTTGGCCAGCCCAGGTGTCCCCCCACCACCTGCAGTGGAGGCTGAGAACAGAGGTGCCAACAGAGGGCAGGTCACAGGATAGAGGAAGCCAGAGGAGGGTTTGGGGCAGGCACTTGGCAGGGTCAACCAGTTTCATGTTACCATTTCTCTTTTTCTGCCCATTTCACAAAGGACTTTTGACTCCTACCCCTTTTCCCTTTTATGTTACTTTATGTCATTTCACTCACATCTGTAAGAGAAAAACAGCTCCAATAACACAGAAGTCACTTTTCAGAGAGTGAGAGAAAAGCCAGGGCTCCGAATACTAAAAAAATATTTGATTTTTGAAAACTCCTCTGGGTGCCACGGCACACACCTGTGATCTCAGTGGCTTAGGAGGTTGAGGCAGGAGGATCATGAGTTCAGAGGCAGCCTGAGCAACTTAGTGAATCTCCAAGCAACTCAGGAACACCCTGTCTCTAAATAAAATGCAGAAAAGGGCTGGGGATGTGGCTGTGTGGTTCAGTGCTCCTGGATTCAATCCTTAGTATCAAGAAAAAGAAAGAAAACTCCCCTATCATCAGTTGTACCCCATTTTTGCTCATTTTCTGTATCTCTTCTCTGGGTGTCTGAGACTTAAACTGAGATATATGAGCTGTCTCTGTAGCCCAAAGCATTGTACCTGTCCCGAGAGCCTGTTCAAAAGGGGTGTGTAGTGGTAGTGGCAGGAAGAGGCAGCCGGAGTCCGAGTGCCCACCTGCCCTTCCTGCTGCCCTCCCAGGGACCCACTGTGGTTCTTTTTAGAACCTTATTTTCTCTGCCTGGAGTCGGGCTTGTTGGGAGACTTACACAGCTGTGGTGGGGGTCAGTTGTGTCTCATGTCCAGTTCCTTGGCCTTGGGAACTGTAGAGCTGGGGAGGCGTCTTAGAACCCAGAGCTCCTCCTCATTTTAGACTCAGGAGACTGAGGCCCCAGGTCCCTGACATTTCTGAGCCTGGTTTTCCTGCCCAGGGCCTTGGAGCGCCCCTTGGATCATCTAAAGCAATGGGTACAAAGGTTTTTACATGTGGATTTTTAAACATTATTCTTAACAATAGCCAATGGCCTTGCCTGCTTAGTGATTGAATGATTTTTTAAAATAGCTTTCTAATTGTGACAACAGAAAAATCATTATATTTTCTTTCTTTTTTAAAATTTAGATGTATCCAGTTAAAACAGGCAATAGATGAGAATAAAAATGTTCTTCAAAAGTTAAGAAAAGTAAGTATTATGTGAATCATATTAGAAAAAAACTTTTTATGTAAATATTTTCACTAAGAGGAATGAATTGGAGTCGGTAAGTTCCTGGGTTTGCATTAGAAATAAAGCCCTACCCAGAGGCGCTGAGTGGGGGCATGGGCTCCCAGGTGTGCTTCAGAGCAGAAGAGAACCTCCAACCCTGCCGAGCTCTTCAGCATTAAGGACTCAGAACCCCAGACACTGCCTTTCAAATGTGTGCATTGTATAACTTAGATGAGGTGCAGTTTAGAGCCGTTTTGATTTTAATCCCACTGCGGGTAGAGTCTAGCCCCCGGTGAGTCGAAGGAAGTCTGGTCTCGGTGGCGGCTCTCACAGCAATGACTGCCAGATCGGAGGAGCAAGCTTTACCCTTGGCCATCCCTTTAGGACTTTTTTTTGGTATGGGCCTGAGTTTCATCTACGTGTCTAGGGCTAGAGGCTCATGGAGCAAGTGGAAGTCACTGAAAGTGTCCCCTGCCTGTGTGTGAATCCTTGTTACTGCATCTGAGTGTCTCTTCTGCATTTCTGCAGTGACACAGAACTTTTCAACTCAGGAGGCAGGCTCTCCCTGAGTTTGAAAACCTAGTTAACCCATTTCACAGATGAGAAAACAGGCGTTCAAAGCTGAAGAAACAATGTCTCTGTCAGTAAGCAGCAGAACCTGGGACCAGCCCTCGCCTTTCTGACTCTGGAGCCAATATCCTATCAGACCCTGTCCCCTACTTGACTGTAGAGTGTCTGCAGTGCTCAGCAAGAAACAAAACGAAAACAAAACCATGTGGTTTTGTGTTTTCATTTGGCTTCCATTCCAACTCAATAACTTAACTACATTTCTTTTAACTCTGATGTATTTCCCTAAGGTAAGTGTAATCTCACACTAGTCTTTATTTTGTCCTACAGCACTTACTGTGGTTTTTATTGTTATTGTTTTTTTAAATGAATGTAATTAGGAAACTAAAATTCATTTTTCAATGAAATATTCTCTCCTAGGCGGATGAGTCTGCACCTGTCGGGAACTATAATCAGAGAAAGGAGGAGGAACAAAATTTTCTGGACAAGCTCACTCAACAGCTGCAGGCGCTTGCTGTGACCACAAGCAGAGAACATAGAACTGAGTATGCCATCTTCTTGCCTTCATTCCTTTCTTTCAGATATTATGTTGCTATCATTTTTACATTTGATTCTGAAATAAATATATGCTATAACAGCATAGATATGAAGAAATGACCACAATGGTCTGAATAATGAACAGTTATTGTGCATGATAGGACACGTCAAATCCCAAGAGAGATGTAAAGATGTGCATGTCCTAGTCTCTGCCCTCAGATTACTCAAAATATAGTTGAGAAAGCAAAACAGAGGTGCAAGAAACTACGTAAACAAGTGTTAAATAACTAGGATGATGCCCTGAGTGTCAGTGTTGATGTGTAAGGAAAATGACTTGCAGTGTCTACTGACAGGGTTCCCTTTCTTATAAATGTTTTTTAAAAATTTGAAGTAGACACATAATTGTTTTTCTGCTGGAGAGAATGTTAATAATATCTCTTACAAATTACAAAAGACTTGTAGGTATAAACAAACCCAATTTGTAGGGAGCAACAAAATATCAATTATTTAGACTCTTCAAATGCTGTTCCCCAGCTTTTTACACTGTACTCTGGGAAAAAAGCTAAGAATGTTGACTCGAAGATTCTAGAATTTTCACTGAATTCTAGCATTAAGAATGACAGAATAGCTGATATTTTACTTAACTTTTCCACCACAAACAACTATAAAATCTATGCAAATAAATAATATGCATTCTTTTCAAGTGAACATATAACATTAGCCAAAATGAGCCATATAGGACCAGAGAGCAATTTTCAATAAATTTCAAAGAAGTGAAGTTGTATATATTTTTTGACCTCTTAGAATTATATTAAAGCTCAATGACAGAAAAATAACTAGATATCACTAAAAGTCTGCAAATTAAGTTACATACTTTATCTGTATGACCCATTAATTCAAGAAAGTGTTGCACTGGAAATTGGAAAATATTTCAAATGATAAAAATGTATGACTCTGGGGCTGGGTTGTGGCTCAGCGGTAGAGTGCTTGCCTAGCACATGTGAGACGCTGGGTTTGAGCCTCAGCACCACATAAAAATAAATAAATAAAATAAAGGTATTATGTCCAACTACAACTAAAAAAATATTTTAAAAAGTATGTATGACTCATGGGTTGCAGCCAAAGTAGTGCTTAGAAAGGAATTCATAGCTTCAATGAATAATTTTAAAAGATACCAAAATTCAATTATTGAAGCTGTTAAAGAAGCCAGAAAAAAAACAAGGTAAGCCCAAGGGAAAGGAAAAAATACAATGGGAACAGAAAACAGTGACATCAACAGATAAATAGTAGGTGCAATCAGCAAAGCCAAACATTGACTTTGCTGTAAATATTAATCAAATTGATAAATTCTTAGCAACACCGATTAAGAGGAAAGAAATAAAATAGTGATGAAGATAAATGGCTCCAGGTATATCCAGATACTCCAGTATACATTCAAGAGCTCTACCACTGAGCCACCGCCTCAGCCCTCATCCTAACTGGCTCTGATGGGAAGCTGACTGCAGGCAGACATTGTTCTAAACACTTTACGGATTGTCACTCACCTGATCCTCATGACAGCCTTAGGAGTCAGGTTCTGTTGTTATCTCAACTTTACTTATGAGAAAGGGAGAGCTTACTAGAAGGTCACCCACGGAAGAGAGAGAGCCAGAATCAAAACCCCAACTTGTGTTTCAAGCACTGTGTGAGAGCGCTCAAGCAGCGTGTCCCGAACGGGGGACCCAGGCCGTGGGTGGGGTGCTCTTGTCGCACAGGCCTCGCTCATATCAACCGGCTCCTTGTCCACCCTCAGTCCTTCAGGTCACGAGTGCTCAGCATGGTTGTGGGAACCATTAGTTGTACTTTCCTTTCATTGCTTTTTTTTTGGCCAGCTCCAAAAATGGAACAGTTCTTCAGGGTACAGAGGTTCTGCTCCCACTGGGTTTGTACTCGCATGTTTTTTTCAAGAGATCGCCTCATACAAATGCTTTTTGTAGAACTGATGTGCTTACTGACAAAGAGGAAGATGAGGATTCTTCTGAGGAAGATGAAGAAGATGAAGATGATGATGAAATGGAAGAAAGTGGTGGAGAGGAAGAAGAATCAGAAGACGAAGAGGAAGAGGAACAAGAAAATGAATCTCCTAAACAAACAAGTAGAAAATACATTGCTCTTGGAGATTTTACTGCTCAGCAAGTTGGGGACCTTACATTTAAGGTAAGTAGAGAAGATGGGGACCTAGTGTAAGGGGAATGTTTCTAAAGGCTCAATCTGTTTAAATAAGGAATTATGATTTACAAGCAGTAGTTATGTGAGAGTCTATTATTAAAGTTACCTGTTCTAAAGATTTTTAAAGTGGCTTTAGTGTTGATAAATCTTAACAAGGGGTAAAATTTTATAATTAGTTTCTGAATGTCATATGTACCAAGTTATTCAGGTGGGTTAGGCAGTGTCCTAGCTGAGGTAGGGGGAGCACTATCACACTTCTTCCTGTTGGCTTAGACTTGAAGGGGTGCACGTCTGTTCTAGGCCTGTGCATAGATAAGTGGCAGGTGGGATAGAAAAATGAAGTTGTGGGGTCTTGTTTGTTTGTTTATGCAGAGCAGGGATCAGACATGGCCTAGCCGGGCAGGTGATCTACCCTTGAGCTACAGCCTCAGCCATGCAGGTGTGGTTTGTAAAGGATTTGAGACAGTTTTCTGCTAGTGAAATGAGTCAAAGAAATTTTTATTGAATATATAAATCTTGATCTTTTGTTTAACTTCAAAGTGTGACACTCACTAATAGTAAAATATGCAAGAATATTATACAACTAATATATTTATTGTTTTTTGTTTGGTTTGGTACCAGGGATTGAACTTGGGAGTGCTTTACCACTGAGCTACGTCCCCACCCCTTTTTTATTTTTACTTTGAGACAGGGCCCCTTGCTAAGTTGCTTAGAACCTCACCAAGTTGCTGAGGCTGGCCCCAAACTTGCAGTCCTCCTGCCTCAGACTCCCAAGTCACTGAAATTACAGGCATGTGCTACTGCACTCAGCTAATACATTTTAATTCATAGGTTGTTTTTTTTTTTTTTAACTTTTCCTGGAAAAATGCCACCAATACTAAATAATAATGTATATTCTAAGAAAGTCTTTGCTTTTGCGTGTCTTCAGTAGTGGAAATTACTGTTTTTCAAGGATGGATTATATTTCGTACATGAACAAGTATTGTTTTCAATGGACAAGTATTGTTGAAAACATGGATTAGGTAGGTAGGAACATTGGGTAAACTATTTTTGTTTCAAAATAGGGCTTAACTTTAATAGAATCATTTTTCTTCAGGGATTTATATGATACTCCTGGAAGAAATTTTCCAAAGAGAGACTTACAAATTCAAAAATATTTTCTGCAATAATCAAATTGCTAGAATAAGTACGGGTCCTCATAAATGCTTGTGGAAATGGTCCCCATTTGCATGTAGAATTTGAATGTGTGTTGAGCAACCCAAAGGAATGATTCATTTATAGTCACAAAGGTATTGGGGTATGGCAGTAGGGAAGCATTTGATAAAAGTTAGGATAAATATTAAGGAAATATTTCCTTTTTTCAGTATATATTTTAAAGCATTAGTAATGAAATGCTACTCATGACTATTGAGCTTTATTTTTAAATTTGTACTTTGTTTTGCTTTAAGAAAGGGGAAATTCTTCTTGTAATTGAGAAGAAGCCTGATGGTTGGTGGATAGCTAAGGACAGCAAAGGAAACGAAGGTCTGATTCCCAGGACCTACCTGGAGGTAAGTCTTTGTTGTTTATGCTTTCTCCTTCAGATAGATCTCATTTTCAGTTAAACATTAAGCTATATTCTTGGATCGGTTGACTAGAGAATGACTTGAAATTTAAATTTACTTTAGTTTTACAGAGACAGGGCGTGGGGAAGACATTGTGTATTGAGGTCCTGGGGGCCTGTGAAGAGCTCGGGTGAAAGTGAGCCCGGGAGCATTCTCAGAAGGAGGTGGCTCTGTTGCTCTGTGATGTTTATAACAACTAAGAGGCATTTATTATCATAAAACATGGCCACCATCCACTTGGTGTTTACTTCCACAAATACATTACTCCCTTACTAAGAGGTGAGCATACTGTCCATGCATGGTTGGGTCGGGAGTCACAGCACGTGCCACGTGGTGTAGACACCTGTCTGGATCAGCACTGTCTGATAGAAATAAGAGACACACCACACATAGGATTTTAAATCTTCCAGTGACCACACTGAGTTTTTTTTTTTTTTTCCACCCTGACAGCGAGGGTGGGGTTATTATCTGACACCACGGGTGTCATTTTCCATATCAGCTCCTTAGCAACTCAGTTGGATTCTGGCCGGAACTCCTGGATTTAGCACAGGTGCCACACAGTAAGGGCACACTCCCACCAGACTGCCCCCTGTTCAGATGCCAGTCACATGTCCCAGCAGCCACTTGTACTTCTGACTGATTGGCTAAAAATTCAGAAGTCTCCTCTCCTTCTGCAGGGGTCTGATGATTCCCTAGGGTGACTCACAGAACTTGGGAGAACACTTTCCAGTCTGTCCTCTGTATCTGAGGGTACAGAGCAAAAATATCTGAAAACAGTTGCATCTATATTGAGCATATACAAGTCTTTTTCTTGTCATTATTTCCTAAACTATACAATATAATAATCATTTATATGGCATTTACATTGTGTTAGAGATCATAGGTATTTTGTATATGATTTAAGGTATGTGGGAAGATGTGTACAGGTCATATGCAAATACTGTATCATTTTATATAAGTGACTAGAGCATCCTTAGGTTTGGTATCCATGGGGATTCCTGGGACCAGTCCCCTGAGGATACTGTGGGACAACTATACTTGGATGTACTAGTTTATTATAAAGGATGCAACTCAGGAACACCAGTGAAGAAGACGCACAGGGCAAGATGTTGAGGTGGGGCGTGCAGGACCTAAGCATGCTGTTCCCCAAAGCCTTTGTGTGTTCACACACCTAGAAGATACCCAAGCCCCAGCCTCCCGGGGTTTCTATGGAATTTTGGTTAATCTCATTAACTAAATCACTGACCATTGGTGATGAATTTAATCTCCAGCTCCTCCATCCTCCCCAAAGTTTGGAAGGAAGAGCTGAAGGTTCAAACTTCTAATCCCTTCCTGAAGCTGTCTGGGGGTCCTCTAGATGCACCTCACTAGCCTGCACACTAGAATGATTGAACTTCTTAGGAATAAGAAAACTTCTTAAGAATAAGAATTCAGGAAATTCCAAGAGTTTTAGGAATTCTTTGCCAGCAAAAGACACAAATATATATTTTTATTACACACATTAAGAAGTAAACAAATAGGGGGAATTATTTTTAATATTTTATATTGTCTAATATATCAAAAATATCATTTCAACATATGATCTATATTTGGACATTGAGTTACTTGTTTTATATTAGGTTCAAAATCCAGTGTGTGTTTACGTGGACAGCACATCTCAACCGTGTTTACGTGGACAGCACATCGCCACGGGTGGCGAAGGGCTATGCACCACACAGGACAGGTTTAGGTCGTCCTTTGGAAGGCAGCAAGCATTCCAGCTCGCGGTGACATTTATTCAGGGTGTTTGCAACCTATAATCACCATCAATTATGCCACAAAGAACCTAAAATTAGCTTCTATGAATTACCAAAAATCTCCCCAAAGCAGCTCACCTGAGGTAGCAGCGTCTTCTCCCACGCGTAGAAGGAGTGTGGAGATGGCTTTCTGGCGCTGGTTCAGGCCCCACCTGGAACTCCATAGCTCCAGGTGAGGCAGCTCTTCCTGGGTTACCTCTTTAGTTAAGTCAGTGGCCAAATCCTTTAATGATTCTGAGCAGCAAAAGGGAAAAGAGGAAAGAATCAAGAAATATGAGCTGCTATCTAAGGAGGTAAAACGTTTTCTGGAAGTTAGAAAACTTCAGCCACATCTTGACGACCAGCATATTTAGTCCCCAGGCCACACCTAGCTGCAAGGGAGGCTGGCTGGCCAGATGGAGTCTCAGCAGGCCCGACGAGTCAGGGGTTCTGCTAGAGAGGAAGAGGTGGAGGGTGGCCACCTGCAGACTGTTTGGATCAGTCTGCATGTACCTCTTTGTAGACTCTTGGTTGTTCCTCTTGGGTGAATTCCTACATGCTTGTCAGTGCTTCAAAGGGTTTACACCTTTATATTTTGATTTATTTTGCCAATTTTGTCTTGGCAAAATTATGGCCTCTGATGTTAAGAGGGCTTATTTCCCCATGCATCTGCCGAGGCTGGCCAATACCAGTCTTTCTTAGCCTTTGCCAATGTGATCAACAAAACAGCCTCATAGTTTTTATTTGCACTTGTGATACTCCGAATGAGGCTGAGCATCCTTTCATATGATTTACTACCATCTGCATTTCTTCTTTGTGGATAACCAGTTCAGTTTCTTTGACCATTTTTCAAATGGATTTTTTAAAAAATCTTTTTCTTGATTTATAAGAGCTTTTTATAAAATTAACCCTTAGAACTTGGTGTTAATGGTTTCTTTATTGACCTTCAGCTGCATGTATTTTTTATTAGTGAGATCTGCTAGCATTTCCATTTATTATTTTTTAAATTTTGGTATCATAACTGCAAAGGGCTTTACCCCACATTTATTTTCTCCTATCAAAGGTAATTCTTTTAATTTTTTTTCATTTGAATAAATTCTACCTGGGATTTATTTTGGTGAAATTGCTGTTTACTTTATAGTCTTTGTCATTGTTTCATATAGTGAAGTTATCAGTCATGGGTTGAAATTTTCTTTCCCTGTCACATACTAAATTCCCCTCTGTGCCTGAAAGTCGTAGCATTTTTATTGGTTGATTTTTGTGTTAGTTGGAAAGCACTTCCTGTTTCAACACTTTTCCAGCCCTGTGATAAAGAAGAGGAGCAGGCGACAAGTGAAGAGGGCAGTGAGGAGGACGCCGGGGGGACGGCGAGTGAAGCCGAAGCTAAGCAGAGGTACAGAGCGCGGGAGAGCGAGCAGCTTCTGCCAACTTTTTATTTATTTTTACTATTAAAATAATGTAAGATTTTCTTGAAATGGAGTCAACTTATACCTAGAGAGCTTTTCATATTATTGTTGACTTAAAGGTCATGGCTACTTTAGTTTTGTAATTATTTTTAGTGCATTTAGTTCTAGCTTCGCCTCGCCTAGAGATTGTTTGGTCTTCAGAATCTACTGAGCGTTTGTACTTGTTCTCTGATTCGTGTGGTAACGGGCAGAGGCTGTGCCTGCATTTACCTGCTCTTTCATCTCCCCAGAACTGATACCCACTGCAGTGCTGTTCAAAAAGCTATCTCAGAGGTTGGTATCTGCTGTCTTATTAATAATACCTTATATTTGATGTCTTATAATATTTTTAGTAAATAAGACATTTGGGATGTCTTAGTGTTTTATTATCTATAGTTCTGGTTGAGTTCAGATTCAAACCAGGATGGAGACTCTTTGAGACTGTCTAGATCTACCCAGGCTCAGTTGTGGAAGGTGCAGGGCAGAAGGCTTCTCTTTCTGCCTTAGGAAGCTTGAGCTGCAATCAGCATTTCTCATTAGGGCTTCTGTACAAGAAGAGTAGATCATCTCATTCATGGTGTGATTTCAGAGCTCGGAATCTTTCTCATTGATCCTATCCAGATTATTTATCATTTTGGCAAAGGCTGGCATTAGATTTTAGTTATTATTTGAAAAGTCTGAAAAACCCAGAAAGGTAAGACACTATCTGTAATCCTGTCATTTTTAAAAAAATGACATGACAAAATGAAAATTCTCCACCCCATGAGTAATCACCATGAACGGTTCAGTTAGCATCTTCCTGACCTTTTACTGCTCTTCTAACTCCCAAGGAGATGCTCGAGGTGCGGGTGGGTGGGGGTGCACTTACACAAAGCACCTGTCAGCTCCTCGGGCGTCAGTAGCGATATCATCTGCTGAGTAGCAGTGCAGTATGGGGTGGGGCTGGAGCAGGAGCATTACAGACAGAATGTACTTGAAGCAGCTGATCTAAAAACACAAAGCTCTGCGCCCGGCACTGTGTGGGCCCCAAGTCTTTGTGAGAGTGCAGATCCAGTGATGGCCATGTCCTCTCAGGATTTGGGTCACGTTGCAGCACTTTCCCGACATGTGCACGTGGTGTTTTCCCGTTGGGTTGTGCTTGCTGTGGTGCTGAAGGGACACGGTGGGGAGGTGAGGAATCATGGATGGAAACGAGCAGACCACTTTTGTTTGTCCTCTCCTCGGCAGATGAACACGGTGGATGTGTTAACCAGCATGGGGGCTATCCCCGCAGGCTTCAGGCCTTCCACGCTCTCCCAGCTGCTGGAGGAAGGTATGGTGGTGCTCAGCCTCTGCAGCCATGCTTGGAGGCTAATTTTTCTCTGGTAGCTAAAACAAGTTGAGGAAGATGCAGAGTTTCACTTCTCTTTGGAGCACATCCTTTCCTTGTCCCTCTTATGACCATGAGCAAGGACCCCAGTTCTATGAGAGGCCCATCTGTTTACCTGTGTTGTGGGCTCCAGCCCTGCCCTTGTCTTTTTAATCGCCAGCCCTTTCCTGCTCTCTAGCCTGCCTGCCCTGCCTTCCCCTGCCACCACTGTGAGCAGCGCACCACAGTGCCACCAGCCCATCCTGTCCCAGCACAGTGCCACCAGCCCATCTCGTCCCAGTGAGGAAGCCTCACTTCCTCTGCCCCTCTTCACAGCAAGGACTCTCCTAGAGCATCTCCAGTGGGCTTTCTGATTCCTGTTCATCCCTGGATTTCCCGGTACTTGGCAACTTTTGTCTAGAAGCTCATTTTGAAGGGGAGTCATGAGGGGCAGGCTGGCTCCTGTGTGCCTGAGCCATTAACTGTGGGTGGAAGGGCTGCTTCAAGGTTACTTCTGCTGGGAAGGTTCTTCCTGGACCTCCCCAAATAGCTGCCCCTTCCCATCCTGTAGTCTCAGGGTCCCTTCTACCTTGGCAGCGATGCCCGCTCTGGCAGTGCAGCTTCCCTCCCACCCCCGTGAGCACACACACTAGTCTCATGTGCCTACTTCTCTGTTTCCCTCACTCAGCTGTAGGTCAACAAGGACTCTCGGCTCCATTTCCAGCTCCTAGCACAGCCCATGGCACAGGGCAGGGACTCAAATTATTTCTTAAACAAATAAGTGATTTTATAATAAATGTTCTTCATGATAAACTATGGAAGAGGAGTATAAAAACGCTTATGTATCTCCCATATCCCGCGTGGGCAAGGGAATTGCTTCCCTCCGGAGGGATGGGCTGGCTGGGAAGTAACAGCTAAAAAAAGTACCACGAGATGACCTCAGAACACAGGAAAGCAGTTTCAGAGCAGGGGCATCGATGGGCAAAGCTGACCAGATGGGTCTAGTTCCTAACAAAGAATGGAGCCTGCGCTTGCTTTATTTATATTGGAACACATCAAAGACTTTTAGTAGAAAATTCTTCACCAAAGCAGGATAGAGGTGGGGGCAGTTAGGCTGCTCCGTTCCTGACAGGTCATACCCATCTCCGGTCCTGCCCAGGACCTTTTGGCAGAGTGGAGGGGGAGTTCATTTGCATTGGGTGGTCTTGATAGCAGAAGTGCCACTATAAGTTCCCAAATACGAGACCTACCCCCTCGCTGGCTTCAGTGCTGAAAAGGTCCCCGTGCATTTTGTGGATGGATTCCTGCACTTTTGTGTTAAGAACTAGGTTCTGGGGCCGGGCTCAGTGTAGAGCGCTTGCCTAGCACATGTGAGGCACTGGGTCCGATCCTCAGCACCACAGAAGAGTAAATAAATAAAATAAAGGTATTCTGTGCCTCTATAACTAAAAACATATATGTGAAGAAAGAAGCAGGGCTGGGGCTGGGGCTGGGGCTCAATGGCAGAGCACTTGCCTAATATGTGTGGTACCGGGTTCGATCCTCAGTACCACATATAAATAAATAAAAATAAAGTTACATCAGCAACTAAAAAAATTTAAAAAAGAAGCAAAACTAATGGTTATGTATTTTTTCTAAAATATATAAAAATGTTACAGATTTGTGCATTTTATAGAAATATTTGAATAAATCATTTTCATTGTGAAGCATGTTGTTGGTCTAAACTCTTTAAGATCTTCCTTAAAACTATCTTAAAGTAGTCTTTTATCAGTTTTTAATCTTAAAATTTTGAACATAATTCTGTCTTGGTTCATCTGTCTTGGAAAGCAAGTTGCTAGTAAGCCCCTTAGCATTTTGGAAATATCTGTTTCCTAAATTTGTAGCATAATGTCTTAGACTTGGTTTTGAATTTCATTCTTCTTTTCATAAGAAAATAAAGGAAAGCTGTTTTTTCAGGGAATCAGTTTCGAGCAAGTTACTTTCTGCAACCTGAGCTCACGACGTCTCAGCTGGCCTTCAGAGATCTGATGTGGGACGCGAAGACAGGCACCGTGAGTACAGCGACAGCAGAGAAGCTGCAGCCTGGCTGCCGTTGTCCTGGGGCCAGCATATGAGTGACATGTGGCTTTAAAGTGGTGGTGTTCACATAGCCAAGGCAGCACCTAGACTTGGTCCCCTGACTCTGGTTTCTCTTAGCGGTTGCGCCCTCCTCCCATCGCCACAAAGGACGTAATACTTAGTCTCCCTGTTCATCATGCTTTACCTCAGTGTCTTCATCTGGGAACAGGGATGACAGTCCTTCTAACATCGAGCGGTTGTGAGAATTTATGAAGGCTTTGGCAGTGCCTGGCAGAGTATGAGAACGTAGTCAGTGTTGGCCAGCACTGTGCTTTGGATAGGTGCCCCACGGCTTGCTGCCAGCCTGGGGCTATTGGGAGGCGGTAGGACCTGGAGCTGAGGCCTAGTGAGGGGAAGTTACATGGCTGGGCCACACCCATGAAGGGATCGTGGGACCCCAGCCCCTGCCTCTCTCCCATCTGCTTCCTGGCTGCTGCAAGGTGACACATCACGCCACCATGTGCTCCCCGCTCTGATTCCCTGCCTCGCCACTGGCCCCAAAACAGTGGAGCCAAGCGACCATGGACTGAGACCTCTGAGAAGAAGAGCTGAGCAGACTTTGCTCTCTGCAAGCTGCTCATCTCAGATCTCTCGCAGTGGGAAGCTGCCAGCTCCGTCAGGAGGAGTAGGAGTGACATGATCATAGTTGAGTGGGAATGAAAAAGTCGGCAGAACTTCATGATCACACTTTTTGGGTACCACCAAGAATAAAAGATTTTTGCTATCCCAGTATTTGAAGTAGAATATGCTCTTGATCTTTAATTCTACTTTATATCTGCCTGTAACAGATATAAACTGCATTAGAGTATGTCACTCCCTTCCCGTTTACCTTGACTTTACCCCTCAGTGGTGGCCGGGGTGGTAGGAAGGGGGGTGCAGAACTTGGTGCCCTTATTCCTCTCACCCTGAGCATCAACTGGTGCCTTAGTAGGAGGTGCTGTATTGCAAGTGGGCAGAGAGGGGCTGCTTGGTGCACCAGTGCTTGAGCAGATCACAGTTAATGCCATGAACTTGTGCCCAGGAACTAAAAACCCAGCTCTCATTACTTAAATAAAAAGGTGACAGATTATTGATATTATCTTATCTTTTGCAACAATATAAATTATTTAAATGAAAAGGCTTGTGATCATAAAGCAGAATGTAAAGTTTAGCTAATTGAAGCTGTTCTTTAAAAAATAAAAATACAGAATGCCAGTTTATTTATTCACAATCTGACCTTTATCTGTGAAATAGATTTGAACAATCAGACCAAACATTACATTCTATGTCAAAGCATCTAAGAAGCCAAAGAGGAGGTAGCTGGGTGCCGCAGTCCGGCTGCTGTAGGACAGGAGGGGTATATATACATTCCACACAGCTTATCTTAATTAACATAAACTAGATACAGCAGTCAACCAATAAGGAATCTCCACACTTAATGGCTCGCTGGCGTTACTTCACAAACCACTCCCTCTGGCAAAATGCCAGGCGCCATCCCGACTTGTTTATAGACCCTAACATTTCCCCCTTACAGCTGGGTGACATTAATGCCAGGTGTCTTGGTTGTCATGCTAGGGTAACTGTCTACAATTCCACACATCGTATGGGAATGGACCTGGAGACTGGAATACAGTGGTTCGAGGGTCAGGTCATATATTTTACCTGCTAGTACTAGTAGTCTTTCATTGAAGTTTTTAAGTGGTTAAGAAAAAAATGCAGATATTTCAAATATAACTTTATGCAAAATTTACCTGAAATAACTGGGTTTGGTTTTGAACAGACTATTGAAACTCTGTGTATGTATATCCATGTAAAAGTTCCTTTTTGTATTCTATGTATATCTTCTTAAGCTGTATTTTACAAATGATGCTTTGGAAATGGATTTGTACTACTATTAATAGGTTTTTGTGTTTTTCTTTCAGATTAAGTCAAGGCCAAGTCGTGTTTCCTTAATCCTCACCCTGTGGAGCTGTAAGATGATTCCTCTCCCAGGAACGAGCATCCAGGTGCTCAGCAGACATGTTCGCCTCTGTCTGTTTGATGGCAGTAAGGTAAGCTCACTAGTTGAACCATCTCACACAGGATGACGGAGAAGCCCTTGTGTGGTACCACACATTAAATGTGGAGTGCACTGTGTGTGAGTATGTGGTACTGCAGTGGGTTAACCCTGGCTCTTCAGTTGCTACATGTGTGATGTTGGTACACACACAGTTAACCCATCTGGGCCTTAGATTTCTTCACTTATGAGAGGGACTAGTACCTTCTTCTAGTGTTGTGTACAGTTCAGGTCTAAGTATAGAGCATTGCATTTTTGAAAATGCAATGTATATCCAGCTCCCCAGTCAAGATATGGAGCATCTCCATCTCCCGTGATATCTCCTGGAATCCTTTTCTGCTCAGCTCTTCCCTGATTCCTAAAAAAACATTTTTTACCTAATACCAAATGATAGTCTGAATGACTTCTAAAAAAATAATATATCTTTCATGAGATGTAGCTTAAGTTGTGCTTAGGTAGAAATTCGTAGCTTTAATTGCATATACTAGAAAGAGGGAAGGTTTAAAATCAGTGATCTAAGCTGGGAACTTAAGAGACTAGAAATTGAAGAGTGAGTTAAACCTAAGAATGTAGAAAAGAGGAAATAACAAAGAGTAGAAATTAATGAAATAGAAAACAGATGGACAGAAGAGAAAATCAATGGAGATGAAGGTTGATTCTTTGAAGAGATTAATAAAATTGAAAGATGCCCAGAAAGACTGACCAAGATACTTTAAAAATAGTGAAAGAAAGCTGGGCGAGGTGGCACATGCACACCTGTAATCCCAGCAACTCTGGAGGCTGAGATAGGAGAATCACAGGTTCAAAGCCAGCCTCAGCAACAGTGAGGTGCTAAGCAACACAGTGAGACCCTGTCTCTAAATTAAAAAAAAAAAAATAGGGCTGGGGATGTAGCTCAGTGGTTGAGTTCAATCCCTGGTACAAAAAAAAAAAAAAAGAAGAAGAAGAAGAAGAAAACAAATTATCAATATCTCCCATTGAAATAGAAACATCATTACTGATCCTGCAGACACTGAGGACAGTAAGGGATATTATAAGGAATTATATGCCAGTAAATCTGACAACATTGATGAAATAGATAATTTTATAAAAAACCATAATTTACTGAAACTGACATAAGAAGAAATAGAAAATTTGAGTTTCTCTTTTAAAGAAATTACAACTTCAATTAAAAATTTCCTACAATGAAAACTCCAAGTCCTTATGGCTTCACTCTAGTGACTTCCCACAAACATTTAAGGAAGAAATAATACCCATCTTATGCAAACTCTTCCAAAGAATAGAAAAGGAGAAAACATTCCCTAACGTATTTCCTAAATCTAGGAAAAACATGACACCAAACGATGACATTACAAGACCAGTTTCCTTCATGGATATAGAAACTAAAATCCTAAACAACATTCTCAAGTTGGATCTAGCAATTTATAGAAAGGACAGTAGGTCACGACCAGCTGGAATTTCTCCCCATGTTCAGATGTACACACCTGGCAGCCAGCATTGGATATGCGAAATTGTGATGTTATTTCATCATATTAGTAGACAAGAAAAAATCATGTGAACATCTCAATAAACATAGAAAAAACATTGACAAATTCCAGTGCCCATTCACAAGTTTTAAGAAATTCTCTACAAACTAGGAACAGATGAGAACTTCCTCAAATTTATAAAGAACAAAAAAAAACCTAAATTACTATCATTGACAGTGAAATGTAGAATTTTTTTTTTTTTTTTTTAGTCTAAGATTAAGAACAAGTCAAGGATGCTAAGAAATAAAAAGAACTCAGTTTTTTAAATGAGCAAAAACTTGAACAGGCCCTTCAAAAAAGAAAACATGAGAAACCAATAGGCATATAAAAATATACCTAACATGTATAATATTCTACATTATTAGAGGAATGTAAGTCAGAATTTACAGTGAGAGACCCACTTAGATGCTCCATACAAGAAGCCCACCTTAAATAGAAAAGGTAAGTTAAAGGGAGGTGGGTTCACTATTCAAGATATTAATGTCAGGCTGGGAATGTGGCTCTGTTGTTGAGCGCTTGCCTGGCATCTGCAAGGCCCTGGGTTCAACCCCCAGTGCATTAAAAAAAAAAAAAAAAGTCAAACAAAGTAGATACATACCCAGTCACCCCATGTTAGAGCTTCAAAACACATGACCTAAAAATTGATGGAACTGAAAAAAGAAATAGGAAAAGCCACCATTATAATTGGAAACTTCACTACTGTTCTCAGGAATATAGAACAAGCAGACAGAAGATGAGAAAGGATATTAGGAATTGATTAACCTATTGACAAACTAGGTAGAATCAGTATTGAGCAGCACTTCACCTCTAAACAGTAAGAAGCACGTTCTAAGTGCATGTGGAATATCCACCAGTCTACACAGGTGGATGTGGGTCAGAAAATAAACCCCAACAAGTCTAAAAGAGTTGAGAGCCATGTACCGTATGGCCTTTGAGCACATGAGATTAAGCTAGATATCAGTAACAGAAAGATCCGTGGGCAAAGTCTTCAAATGCTTGGAAATTAACAGATTTCTAAATAATCAATAAGTCAAAGGGAAGTTAGAAAATATTTTGTACTAAACACAAAGTGGAAGTGAAATAGACAGTCTGGTAGATGTCAGCTAAAGCCTAGTTAGAGGGGTTCCCAGAGTGGGTGGGAGCTGCAGAACAGCTCCTCACGGCCTCACCCCCTAAGCTGAGGAGCCCCAGGCCTCTGTGGGACGTGCAGGCAGAGGCCCTCTGGGGAGGGGACTCCAGGGGGAGCAGGGTGGCCACCAGTGTGGAATCCTGATGGGGAGTGTCTGGAAGGCAGGCAGTGTGAGAAGCAGTGCGCGTCTGTCCTAAAAACAGCAGAGGGCACTGAAGGAGGTGACATGATGAGATTCATGTTCTGGAAAGATCTCTGGCTCCTCTCCGAAGAATGGATTAGAGGGCAGCCAGAGGGGACTCAAGTGGACCACTGGGGGCAGGGCCGTGGCACAGCATGGCAGGCAGAGGACAACAGGCATCATCTTCAAGAAGCAAAATCTGGATCCAGCTTGCTTAGGATTGCCCCTGGCGCTGGCATTTGCACAACATGGGACCTTGACCTTGCTCTCAGGCTCCTCCTCTTGTACCTCCTGGGATCAATGTGAGGAAACTGGGTTAATATAAGTAAAGCACGGAGAACAACACATGGAGCATAATAAGTGCAACCAAAAGAATGATGACGATTACAGCTTGGGTGGAGATCAGGTGGGAGGAGATGCAGGAGGCGGGAATCAACGGGATTGGTAGTGGGCTCACTGTGGAGGATGGAGAGAGAGCAGGTGTGGAGCGGGCAGTAGGTCTCGGACATCCACCCCTGGATAGACCATGGTCACACGCACACAGGCAGGGAGGCCTGGGGGAGGACTGGGTGTGGCGCTGCCCTGGTGGTTTTCTTCCATCTGAACTTGGAGTAAGGGTGACCACAGGGCTACTGTGCACAGAAGCACCACCGCAAATGCGCCAGGAGGTGTCAGCAGTGACCAAGAAGAGAGAACCTGCTGTACTCTCCTGTTCTCGCATGAGAACAGAAAACAAAAACTAGAATTTCACTTTAATAAGGTGAAAATATGGGATTCATTTTATATCCAGATCCTAGAAGTTCATTTATGAAATTAATTTTTATCAGAGTTTGAAATCGAGAAGTTTTCATCACATTTAATAGTTAGAAAAATGCATTATTTGCTTTTTGAAGGCTTCTTTAACAAATCTAGCCTATTACAAATGAAAAGCTCTGTTGTTGAGCCTGGGCAGCGCCACTCCAGGACGCCCTCCCAGCACCCACCGTCCTCGCAGGGCAGGTGCACCCACACCTGCAGCGTCGGGGGGAGCCTCAAGCCTCTGGGTCTGCTGCCTGCTTTTCTTTTTTGTTTTATTTTCTAGGGCTGGGAGGGAGCCTGGCTTTGTTCTCTCTCCCTGTTGTCCTCTGTTCTCTTTCCTCCTTCTTGCGTGTAGCTTGGACGTTTCTTAGAACTCCATTCTGAATTATCCGTGGTGTTGCGTGGTCTCTCTGGGGGGCTTCCTGTGTGCTTGCTGTAGGTGTCATTTTACACACCCAGCTAATCACAGTGACCACAGGCAGCGTTCCGGTTGGAGAGAGAGGCAGAGACTGTCCCTCTCTATAATTCTCTTTGTCCTCATTCACTCATAACTGGCTTGCACATTTCCTGTACATACACTGAAACCACATCACCCAGTCTTACAATTTTTGCTTCAACCATCAACTGAGAAAATTAGTAGTATTTAGTCAGATCTTTACTGTTCCCATTGATCTCCTTCCCGATGTTCCAAGATGCCTTCTTTAGCTTGTCCCTTCTGTACAGAGAGTGTCCTTTAACCATCCTTTCAGGGTGACAGATTCTCTTAAACTAGCTTTATCTGAGTATCTGTCTCCCCTCCTTCCTAAAGGACCTTTCCATTAGATGTGGGACTCTGGGTTGACAGTTCTTTTCGTCTACCTCTTAAACAACGTGGTGCCACCTCATCCTGGCCTCTGGTTTCTGCCGAGACACCCACTGCCATCTGAGTCATTCCCTTGGCTTAACCTGGCTGTTTTTCTCTCTTGCTACCTTCAGTGTATTTTTTTTTCCTGTTTACTTTAGAAGTGTGGTGTACCTGGCACAAACGCTTTTGGATCTTCCCTGTTTGGAATTCGCTCAGCTTCTTAAATCTGTAGGTTTCTGTCTTTGGCTGAAATTGGGGATTTTTCAGCCATTATTTCCTACAGTACCTTTTAAACTCCTCTCCTCTGGGACTCTGATGACACAAGGGTTAGATCTTCTGTTTTAATCCTATAGGCTTCTGAGTTTCTACCAGAAGTGTCACTTCCTCTTCTAGTAAGCATATCTCAGATATTGAGTATTCACTTGATGTGGTTTATTACTATCACAAGGGCACAAATCTGAATCTATTTTATCAGTTCCTTCATTGTTTTATTAATAAGTTTTGGGACCCTTGTTTTCACTGTTTGAAAAGTTAGATGCATACTATATTGGACGTAGAAAGAAACCAGACCTTACAGAACTGCATGAAATAAAAAATGGAAGCCCCTCCTCTCCCTCTGCCCTGCCCAATATAGCCACTGGTAATTATCTGGGACTCAGAAGGGTGATGTTTCAAAGAATTCCTACAGCCTGATCTGAAATCGGAAAATCTTTCAGGTCCTGAGCAACATTCACACTGTGAGGGCCACGTGGCAACCCAAAAAGCCCAAAACCTGGACCTTTTCTCCCCAGGTAAGAAATCTGCTGAGTAGCAGAACGGGAAACACCCTTCTTTCCTCCTGGGCGATCAGTAGTTAAGACCTAAGGCGAGGCTGTCGAAGCGTCACATTTAGCACAGAACACATGGAGCCACATGTGAACCCTTAGATTCTTTACTGTTCTAGGAGGACTTTGATTAAAATTATTTGTGTTTCTGACTCACCAGGGTTATAATTCCAATGAATCATCCTATTCATTGGATTTCAATTTTAGGAAATGCCCATTTGATGAAAAATGCAGACAAGAAGATAAAATTTAGGAAGTGAGGTGTTTCTCAGAAATGGAATCTTACAACTGCACTAATGACAGTTGTGTTTTCCTCTGATGAAATGAAAGGTGACGCCTAGGGAACCAGTACACTCCGGACTGTCAGAACTGGGATGAGGTTAAGGTTTATACCACTGAGTCAGGCTCGCAGGGATGGATGCTAGTGAATCCAAGATGTCTCTCTGTTCTTTTTATAATACGAATTGTCTGTAGTTCACCTACTTCCACCCCCAGGTTTCATTACTTGAGTGTTTACTTCCCTCCCACAACTAACTCCCTTTGTTACTGCACCCTAATTACCCTTCTCCTAATAAAGATCTTAACACAAATGGGGGTTCAGCGAGAGGGCACTGGCTGTGAGTGAGGCTCGCTGGGTGCTGCAGGCATCCTTGCTTGACTAGCACAATGCCTGAAAGTGAGTGTGGCCTCCTGATTTCCTGACCTCCCTGCCTCCAGGGAGACACACCACATATATTTGGGTCTGTCATTTCACAGTTCTGTGACACACAGCTGTGTGTCATGCTTTCTCAGGATATAAAGGTGAGCTTTGGGAGGAATAACTAAGTGCTTGTCACCTTCCTGAATGAACTGAGGCATCTGTTACGTGCCCACATTCTTCCTAGGTGCATGAGGGTTTACTTGTATGTCAGTGGGGAAGAAACACAGCTGCAAATAATAAGAATGCTCTCTACTTAGGATGCTCTAGCCACGCACAGGCCCTTGGGTCCCTGCTTTATTCAATCCTTAGAGTCGCCCTGTGGGGCGGGCGCTATGGATTACTCCGGCTCAGGCAGGCTGTGAGGATACGGGGCTCCAAGCGCTTTGGGAAGCACAGAGGAGGGGGAAGTTAATTCTAGCCCTTGAGCCTCAGGAGGTTTTGTAAAAGAAAACTAGACCTCAAAGACTGAGTAGGGTTTTATAGGCAAGAAAGGGAGGATGTGCTGTGTAGGGAGAGGGGTGGGAGGAGCCCAAGGGGAGGGGGCCTGTTCCAGGCAGGCATCAGGAAAGCCCAGCAGACGTGCGTGCCCAGCCACTCAATTCTGTTTAAAATGAACAGTGATTGGCATAAAAACCTTATAACATATGCCAAGTGGGCCTCGAGCACCTCGGGGGCGGTTTGCCGCACATGTTGTATGTTAGCCCTGCTCGGAGAAAAGTAAGTGAAGAGAAAGATGTTTCCCTCAATAAGGGAGCTGAGTGTGTTTACCAAGTCAGTGGTGTGGATGGGTCAGTCCGTCTGCTCTTAACTTTCCTTAAGAGACCTTTGTGGTAATACAGAGGCACAAGCCTTGTGCCTTGGACGGGGCAGACCGCCCCTTCCCACTGTGCACTGTGGTCAGTAACCCCACATTTCTTTATCGTTCCAGGTCACTGGCATCTTGCCATGCTTGCTCCATGGCGACTGTTTTATCAGGTCCAATTCTTCATCTCCAGACCTGGGAATATTATTTGAACTTGGAATTTCTTACATTCGCAATGTATGTCAAACGCAAGATAAATGTCACTTTATAATATACCAGTTAAAAGGGAATTGGCAGGCCGGGTGCCGTGGTGCAGGCCTGTGATTTCAGCGACTCAGGAGGCTGAGCAGGAAGATGGCAAGTTCAAAGCCAGCCTCAGCAACTTTGAGAGGACCTAAGCAACTTAGTGAGACCCTGTCTCTAAATAAAAAATTAAAAGGGATGGGGATGTGGCTCAGTGGTGAAGCACCCCTGGGATCAGTTCCCAATACAAAAAAAAAGGAGTGCTGGAGTGTGTGTCTGTGAGTGAAGTCCTAGAGGGTTTCCCGGGTGGGATTTTCATCTCTGGCGGAGCGAGCTGGCAGTGCTCACGATCCTTTGCAGTGCTGCTTTCTCAGTGCATTTAAGATGAACAGGATCTGCTTACATGTGTAGCACCAGTGAACGCCAGAGCTCCTAAAGAACGGAAATTCACAACAGAAGGGGTTTTCAGAAAGTGATCAGAAGCACCGTGGCACTCCAACCCCGGGACCCGGTGCATCTGGCCCTGCAGTCAGCAATTCTTATTGAGAGACCTGGCCAAGTGGCGGTTCTGTGCAGGGAACACCAGAAGCATGGTGTCCTGAACTGCTGGAGCCGAGGCGTGGCCATGCTAGCAGCCCCCCATCTCCCACCCCCTAGCAGCATCTGAATGCAGTATAGGAACCCGGCCCCTCGGAGCCCAGAGCCACCACAGGTACCCTGTGTACTGCATCATCCCGCGTTTCTTTAGGACAAGTACACCCAGGCGAGTCGCAGATGAGTCAGAGCGAGGAGAGGAGCAGCCCAGAGCCAGGCCCAGTGGCCTCTGGCAGTGGACAGTGGGGCAGACTTCCAGGTGTCAAGGCCTTTGCATGCTGAATCCCCACAGTCCACTGCAGGGAGACAGAGCTTGCTGATCCAGGAGCACCCATGTGCCTCTGGGTGATGCCACAGGAAGTGCTCAGCTCCTGAGGCACCATAGCCAACTGTTGGCACGTCATCAGTTTCAGGGATTTTCAAGGGAAATTTTGACAAAGTGTGAGCATCACTTAAAGTGCCACCTCTGCTCTACCGTGGAACCCACCATGTTTCATTTTATTTTCTGGGGCAGAACTGCTTAGCCTTAAGGGGGGGTACTGGCCTTGTTCCTTTCAGGCGCTTGCATGTGCTTATAATTTGACTCATTCAGATGTTGTTTCTCAGACTTGTTTTATTTCCTAGTCAACAGGTGAGAGAGGAGAGTTAAGTTGCGGCTGGGTGTTTCTCAGGCTCTTCGATGCCAGTGGCGTTCCGATACCAGCAAAGTAAGTGCGCTGTGTATTCCTAGCAGTTGTGTGATTTTGTAGAAGTTCTTTTTTTAGGATCAAGGAACTCAGGTTTGTTCTGTTGGCATGTCAACAGCTTTTGGGGCGAGGGCTTTTAATGTTGATTTTAGTGTTGTATAAAGTAGTGTATGAAAGCAACACACACACTCTCACCCAGAGAGGGAGAAGGACACATAGGACGTGTTCTAGAATATGCTTGCACTGTCTGTCTGCTGGGACTGTTCCCTGAAGTACTGGCACATTCCACCATGCTGAAAACAGTGCGAAAGCTAAGTCCAGGATCCCCAGGTCCTCTGTGAATCTGTGTAGGACATTGAAATTATAGCAGTTTTTTTAATATTTATTTTTTAGTTGTAGTTGGACACAATACCTTTATTTATTTATTTTTATGTGGTACTGAGGACTGAACCCAGGGCCCCGCACTTGCTAGGCAAGTGCTCTACCTCAGCCCCAGCCCTCCTGTAAGCAAATTTAAACTTTAAAAGCACAGTGCAAGCTAGAAGCAAATATAATACATACCACAAAGTTGGAATGTTGTTAGCCCTAATGTAAAAAGAGCCCTTGAAAATTAATAAGTAAAAGATCATCTGAATTTTTATTTATTTATTTATTGGTTCCAGTGATTGAACCCAGGGGTGCTTAACCACTGAGCCACATCTCCAGCCCTTTTTATTTTTTATTTTGAGACAGAGTCTCGCTGAGTTGCTTAGGACCTCACTAAGTTGCTGAGGCTGGCTTTGAACTTGTGATCCATCTGCCTCAGCTTCCCAAGTCACTGGGATCATAGGCATGTGCCTCCTCACCCAGCTCATATGAATTTTTAAATGGGGAAAATAAAGATCTAAGTCTAGGATATAAACAGGACATTCCCAGAGGGCTACAGATGGACAAGAAGTAGGGAGGATGGTGATCAAGATCCTAAATTTGTCATTACGGAAACTCAGGGTGCTGGGTCCCACACTGCCTGTATAATAGGAGGTATGCACCATAGTATCCAAATTCCCCCCACCTTTAATCTGGGGAAATAATTCCTACCCCACAAGCTCCTGGTGAGGATTAACTTGGATAACATGCCCTGCACAGCCTCCTTACCACTGGGCAGACGTGAAAGTTCTGAACCCTAGTTTCTAGCCTCATCCTAGCCAGAGCAGGAGGGGCGCCCCATTATCAGGAGTGAATACAGAAACCCAAGTTTCTTATGATTCTTTAAAAAATATGTTCAGGGTTTTCATTTATACTTAGAAGAAAAAAATAAGGAAACATCCAAAATTCTATCTTGGCAAAGTGAGGTCCCAGTTATTTCCTAGGAGGTGGAGCTCGGTCGGCAGGGAAGCATTCTGATGTGTATTATGAGGCACAGGGAGTCACAGGGTGGGTGACAGGGCAGGAGACTTACTGAACTAGGGGAAAGGACAGAGGAATTTTTCATTTTTTACGTGAGTTGTCTATGCCATTCCAACATTTTTCTTAAATATTTATTTTTTAGTTATAGGTAGACGCAATATCTTTATTTTTTATTTTACGTGGAGCTGAGGATCGAACCCAGTGCCTCACGCATGCTAGGCAAGCGCTCTACCTCCAAGCCACAACCTCAGCCTCCATTCCAACATTTTACAACGATCTGTGTTACTGTTTTACTTTAAAAATCATATAAATTCATAATGGCTTAATTTCAAATATTGATTCAATACATTTAAAAAAGGTAATTACTTGCTATTAACAAGTCATTCAAGTCAAAACATCTTTATTTTTATTTGTTTATTTTTATGTGGTGCTGAGGACCGAACCCAGTGCCTCACGTGTGCAAGGCAAGTGCTCTACCACTGAGCTACAGCCCCAGGCCCATCTTAATAACAAAAAGTAATCTTTCTCATTTTCATATATTTCCTGTGTTGATGCTTGGGACAGAGTCTCTTTGCTGAGATGACACCCCATGGAAGGGTCGACATTGTCATTCTCATTCATCAATGAGACACAAATAGAATGAATATATTTGTGCTAAAAATGTTTCACTTCTGGTTCTGGTGTCTACGGAATGCCCGCCGTGCGCAGCCATCATAGTATGTTATTCTTTCACAGAACTTACGAGCTCTTCTTGAATGGTGGCACTCCTTATGAAAAAGGTGTTGAAGTGGACCCTTCAGTGTCCAGAAGAGGTACTGCAGTGGTGCGCTGCCTTCTGTCAGTCAGCTTTCCGTCACTGTGACAACATACCTGAGATAATCAACTTCAGAAGAAAGAGGTTTATTTTGCTTCACGGGTTTCTATCCATGATTGCTTGGCCGTTTCTTTGAGCCTGTGACATCATGGTGGGAGCACATGGCAGAGGAGGCCTGTTCATCTCATGGTTGCCAGGACTCAGAGGAAGGGTTGGGGTCCAGTATCTTCAACTGACCAGTGTCCTAGCCTCCTCCCATAAGGCCCCATCTCTTAAAGCTCCCACACCTTCTCCCTCAGTGCCACAGACTGGTGACCAGGCCTTTAATTTGTGGGCCTTTGGGGAACACCTCAGATCCAAACCGTGGCACCTCCTCTTCCTTAAAGATGAAACAAATGGCAGAGGCTTCAGAGAAGGCAGCCATATTCCAGTAAGCATGACAGTTTCTACTTGGATTCACATGTTTTAAGCTGTGCCATTTGGTGATGTGATCTTAGTCACTTTTATCTAAGTGATTGTTATTTTGGTAGCACATGTAAGACTATAATGTTGAAAAGCATGAGAAATGGGGCCCTGCATTAGTTCTGTCGCTGAACGCTGAGCTGATGCTGTGGCAGGTACAGAGTGAGTGAAGCCGGCTGCCTCAGAGATGGCCCATTTCAGGGTCAGGGCGTGTAGGCATTGAAATCGTGACATGCATGCCACCTCACCCTCCAGCCACCCTCCAGGAAGATGGAGCACCCGTCAGTATGTCCGTTGGCCAGGGGACACTAGGGAAGGGAGTGGAGGGCAGCACAGATGGGCCCTCCCTCGGGGAGCTGCGGACTGACAGCTGGAGCCCCCTCGCATGCCTCAGCCCTCCCGTCCTTGTGTGGTCCAGGACACCAACCCTGGCTGCTGCCCGGTGCCAGGCTCTCTCCTCCTGGGAACAGGAAGGAGTTGGGGTTTGGGGTGCAGGTGCTTCTTCCTGGGGCCGCATGTGCCCTTCCCCCTTTCCCTGCGTGCTGCTGCGGCTATCTGCCCTAGTGGCCAGGGGGTGCTGTAGGGAGGCCCCAGGTTGCTGTCACCGCCCGGTCCCTTCTGACAGCCGGAGGGGTGTGGGCGCTTCCTGCCTGCTGTAACCACCAGTTGTGCTGACCTCTCACTTAATAGTCTTACCAAACGCCCATTCCGAGCGCTGACAGCTGTGGGTCTGTTTCTGTTTTGACAGCGCAAGGCAGTGTTTTCCAGCAGATGATGACCATGCGGAGGCAGCCTCAACTCCTGGTGAAACTGAGGTCTCTCACCCAAAGGTCGCGGAGCATGCTCAGGTGTGTCCCGCTTCCCGGGCAGTGCCTGCGGGGCACCCATCTGTTGGCTGTCTCTTGTCAGTTACTTTTCCCCCCATTAATTATTTTTGCCAAAGAACAGAAGAGAAATAGAAAAATAATAAAGCTTAGCATCATTTACTCTTCTTTACCATTTAGCTCAAGTGACAGACTTGGTAATAAATCCTTCAGCTACTTTTGAACAAATGAGACTGACCAATCAATGCCTGGGCCTATCTTCAGGGATATCTTTTTTTACTTGTTCTTTTTGGTTTTATAGGACAGGAGAATGTATTTTGACATATCCTACATACATGGTGTATGACCTCCCATTCTTGTGGTTGTACATAGTGTGGAGTTCCACTGGTCGTGGGTTCATATATGAACACAGGAAAGTGACGTCCCACTCATTCTGCTGTCTTTCCTATTTCCAGCCCCTCTCCCTCCCCCTCATTCCTCTTTGTCTAATCCAGTGAACTTTTCTTCTTCTCTCCCCTCCCCTTATTGTGCGTTAGCATCTGCATATCAGAGAGAATATTTGGCCTTTGGTTTTGGGGGACTGACTAGCATATTTCACTTAGCATGATAGTTCCATCCATTTATTGGCAAATGCTATAGTTTCATTCTTCTTTAGGCTGAGTAATGCTCTGTTGTGTGTATAGATACCACATTTTCTTCATCCATTCATCTGTTGAAGGGCACCTAGGTTGGTTCCATAGCTTGGCTACTGTGAATTGAGCTGCCATAAACACTGATGTGGCCAAGTCACTACAGTATGAACTTTTTTTTAAATGTTAGGTTTATTTAGGTTTGACTTGCATGCAGTAAAATTTATGATTTGGGGGTTGCAGTTCCTGGAGTTTTGACAAATGTACCGATCACATGACAATCACCACAATCCAAAGAACACTCCCTTTACTCTCAAAGGTTCTCTTGTGTCCCGCTGTGGTCAGCTCCAAGCCCCGGCCTCGGGGAAGCACTCCTCAGTTTTCTTCCCCAGCACCTTGGCCTTTCCCAGATGCTGTAGGTGGATTCACGCGACCTGTGAGTCTGGCGTCTTTGACCATCATACATCCGAGGCTCGTCCGCGCTATTGCCTGTGTTAGTGATTTGTTCCTGTTCATTCTAAATGGTAACTGCTGCATTTGATGGACATGCCACCATGTGTCTATCATCCTCTAGTTGGTGGTCTTTTGGGTTTTTCTAGGTTTGGGTAACTATAAATAAACCTGCTCTAAATATTTGCATACATGTTTCTGCGTGTGTGGACGTGAGGCTACCTACATCTCAAATAGGACTGCCTAGCAGAGGGTTTGCTGGTACATCTGGTGTTGGTCTGGCTGCTTCCTTGAATGCCTGTGCCATTGACCCTCTCACCCTCGCTGTGCACGGGTTTCAGTGACTCCGTGTTCTTGGCAGCATATGGTATGATTTTTCTGTTTAGACCAGTTTAAAAAGTGAACAGCAGTTTCTCACCATGGTTTCATTTGCCTTTTCCTGGGGAGATCCCAAAGCTTCCAGTTCTCACTCGATGCCCTGTAGTCATGTAACCTTCTCTTGGGGTTTCAGTGGCTGCCTCTTTAAAATGGGGATAATAGCAATATCAATTCCCTCCAGCTGTAATGAGGTTTAATTGAAAGCAAGTATATGAAACACTTAGTCCATATTTATAGTCCCTGGCTATAGGGAAACACAATGGTGTTGGCTATAATTATCTATATCATAATTATTTTATATCCAAATAAATGTCAGTGCACACCAGGTAGATACATGGTGCCATATCCTGAAATTTGTTCAAATGAAGAGGTGCAACGCAGCTGGTAGGATTGAGGAGTTTAAAACAGATGTTAACCGATTGGAGGGATGAGAGGGCCTTCCTCCAGGTCACACAGGGGACACGAGATGGTGAGCCTGATGCAGGTTGGGGAGCAGCAGGGGAAGCAGACTGATGTGGCCCTGAGTGGTGGCTTCCGCCCCTGGGTCAGGGCCTTGCTTTAAATATCCCCTGTTCCTTCTCCAGAGCTGACCGGTGCTTGTCATCACACACAGGTGTTGAGTCTTTCAGTGACTGTTAATAACGTGCTCCTGGGGATCAGTCTCTCTCCTTACCTGCCCCCCCCCCCTTTTTCTTTCCTGGCTCCTTTTTCGTGGACCTTTTTTGGCAAATCTTTCCTCAGAAAATTGTGGGTTTTTTTCTCAGTGAGAGGAGAAGCACAGTAGCGGTCTTTGTCAGGGGCCAGCCGGATCCCGTGGGGCCTAGTTCTCCCTCTTGCTGCTGCTGCCAGCCACTCCTCCGGGAGTCCAGGGCACCCACGCAGCCCTGTCAGCACAGCGCTTCCGGCAGTTTCTGTGGCTCCAGATACTAGCTTTTAGGTCCTTTCACCATCTCAAGGTCAGGTTTGACTGTGGTGCAGGGGGTGGATGAAACTAGGAGCACTCTTCTGTGTGTTGGGTTACTAAGAAGGGCCCTGGGTCCTTGTCCCCAACCTCAGGGACTAAGGCTCTCTCTTGAGTGTAGTGCACACAGGCACCCAGACCTTTGGTGTCAGAGCACGCCTCTCAAGAGCCCTGCTGCTGCCGCCCCTGCCTGCTGAGAGCCATAGCCAAGTTGGAATGCGCATGGCTGTGCCCAGCCAGACTGCGGCACCTGCCACTTACCCAGACTTGAGGGCTGTCCTGGCATTGCCTCTGCACATGGCAGGATCCTGCCGTGTGTGCCCCTGGTGATGCTGAGGGTGGGTTTGGGCACCCTGCTGGTGTGACCCAGGGACAGCCTGGCTCACCGACAGCAGGCCATGGCAGTGAAGCCAGAGGCCCTAGGCCTTTCCACAGCCGTGGACCTTGGGCTGCGGTGTATGTAGGTCAAGGTCAGGGGCTGGATGTGAGCTTTAGAATGTGGCTGCCCTGCCTGAGCACCTGGAGGGGCAAAGGCAGGACTGACCCAACTGGGCATCCTTGCCACCCATCCTGCTACCTGCAGAGAGAAGGGAGCGAGTGTGGCATCTGCAGCCCTCTCCTCTCTTTCCAAGGTGCATCCACCTCCAGCCCCACCTGCCCTGCCTACCAGCTCCACCTTGGCTCAGCCACGTCTCTGCTCACAGGAGACAGGAGGGGTCTTTCCAGGATGCCAGTGAGCACAGAAAGTGGAGCAGCAGCGCCAAGAGCAGTAAGCCCAGTGTCTTTCTCAGAGCCCATCGTCTCCTAGGGCCCTAGCTGCCCCAGCCCACAGCCTTACATGAGTATAGCCTGTGGGTGTCAGGAGACCTTGAAAATGCAGGTGAAGCTGGGCAGACCCGTGCTCCCTGGAGAGAGCTCCAGGGTCCTGCGCAGGGGCCCAGTTCAGTGAGCTGGCTGGGCTGGGACAGGCTAGGGGGAGCTGTCAGCGTGGCAGGGAGCACACAGGTGTCTCAGGCTCCCCAAGGCTTGGCTTTCTGACTCTGGAGCTATTCCAGATCTCACTTAGTGCCCTATATTGTTTAGCCTTCTCTCAGGGTTAAATAGGAATTACCCTTCTCGTTCTGGAGCTCTTGTACAAAGGGTTCAATTTGCAGTGATCAGATTCTCAGCCCCTTAGGGGAGGGGAAGCTCTGAGTTTGAACTCTTAAGTTCAGAGCACCAAGAAGCGCTGGCCTGTAGAAGCAAGCTATGTGCACGTGTGTGTGGTGGTGCTGGAAATGGACTTCCCTTTGCCTTTTTGATGCATTCTTTTCCTCTCTTTTAATGCTGTTATATTATTGCTAAAAATAAATAGGATATGGCCTACCTGAGGCCCATTCACCCCAATCACAGCACCTCTGCCACCAGAGACTGCTGGTCCCCATGTGAGGTCAAGAGGATATGTTCTTACTTCTTCAACTCAGCTAACCTTTGGTGACACAGAACTTTCTGGCCATCTTAGGTTTGGAAAAATCAGGAGGTTTCTCTAAAGGAATTAAAAAAAAAAAAGGTAAGCAGCATTGCCTCATGGAATGGGAAGGTGCCAGAAGGAAAGGCGTGCCCACTGTGGGAGTGCCGTGCCTGCCAGACAGATGAACAGGGAGGTGGGCAGCAAATGAGGGGTTGAGAAGGAAGGAAGGAAGGAGGGCTCCACCCTTCCCCTGCGCAGCACAGCGACCACTGTTACTCAGCAGCAGCTGGAACAAGGGCCACGGGGGCCGTGGGCAGAGCAGCCCCTGGAGTAGCAGCACGACCGCTGGGTGCACACGGGGCACTGAGGCTGCCAGTCTGCGACTCGTAGGTCAGGAGTAGACGTGGGAACCTGAGTGGCTTCGAAGAGGGCCGCGGCTGCTCCCGCTTGGAGGTGGGGGAGGGAGAGCTGGCCTGCACCATGTCTCGATGCCTCTGGACAGTGGGCAAGGTGCTGCTCCAGTTCCCAGGAAGCTTAGGAACGGGGATCCCCTCGCTCAGGCCAGCACAGGGTCACGATCACCGTTTCCTTCCAACCAGCTGGAAGCCTGAACATGGCCCCAAGGATGATTGTTCTAAAACCCTGGAGTTAAGATAGAGGATTAATTTATAAAATTAAGACCTCTTTTATAACTTCTGAGTGTAAAAGTGAGTCTCTTATAGGAAAGCATATAGTTGGATCTCGTTTTGTATCCATTCTGACAATCTGTGTCTTTGAATTGGGGGTTTAATCTATTACACTTAAGGTCATTGCTGGTCGGGGCTGGGGAGGGCCTCAGTGGCAGAGCCCATTCCCAGTGTGCCGAGGCCCTGGGTTCCAGCCCCAGCAGCACCAGATAAAGTGGTCGCTGGCGGGCGGGCCTTGCCCTGGGCGGTTGTTCTCTGAGTGTCCTGGAGTTTCTGTCCTGATTTCCCCCTCATGCTTCCCCTGGTGTTGAAGTGATTTTTAGAGTGACACAGTTGGTTCCCTTTCAGTTTCCTTGGTGTCTGTTCTGGAGGTGGTTACCATGGGAGTGGTGGGTCGTATCCTAAAGTCACAACAATTTATTCTAAACCGATACCAACTGAACTTCAGTACTGAGTCCTCTGTCCGCCCCGAGTCCCTGCCCCATCTCGGGCCCTGCACCAGGCCTTCCACGCCACCTTTAACCCACCCAGTTCCTTGAAATGCAGGTAGCAGCTCATTCCACAAACGAGGAAACGAAAGCACAAGGAGAGAAGTTAATTAATCCACAATCAGGAAGTGGCCAAGTCAGGATGCCACAGGCCTGTCCCACCCCCGTGTCCCACCCTGCCCTGACTGATCTGGCATTTCCTCTGCACTCGCAGCCAGGCTTGGCAGCACATGCCCTCTTACAGCCTGTAGCTCCCTAATCCCCTGCTCTCCAGAACATGCAATTGATGACTTTTTACTTGACCTTTGACGTGGGCGTGTAGGCCAGCATGGCAACTCAGAGCTGAGACTCCAAAGTGTCACCTAAAATACAAGTCGACTGGAGTTTAATGTGACCAGCTGGAGTGGAAGTTTCACCTTTAGGTTGTTAAAATGTTTCCAGTAATGAAGCAAAACTTGCAGCCTATCCTTAGAGTAATTACGGTAAAAAGCCCTGTGGCTGGCCGGCCTAGGGGCTGTTTAGTGACTGCCTCTTTGTTCTTCCGTAACAGCCTGCTGCCAGAAACACTGATTGGAGGGATGTGCTACGTCCACCTGCTGATATTTTATCGACAAATTCTTGGAGATGTGCTCCTCAGGGACAGGATGAGCCTGCAAAGTGCTGGTAAGGGGCCTGCGTGGTTTCCTGTGCTCCTGAGTGTGTGTGACCCGTGCCACCCTCTGTCTTCTGCCTGTAAATGTGACATTGGGAACACCATATTAGAAGTGCACCTGGCCCTTCCTTTGTGGGACTCCTTCAGAACACTGAACTTCGTGAGCTCAAGTGCATGTAAATTCTTCCACATATTCTCATTTTAAATTCCGGAGGTTGGAGATCTTAAAACACAGATATAATCATATTTTCTCTTTCTGTTTCTGAATCATTTGTTTTTGTTCCATAAGTTCTCCCCGCATCTTTGGGGGATGAAAGCAGAATCACCCCAAATAGCTGGTTCTTAATGCATGAAGTGTAAGTGCCAGTGGAATAAAACCAGCGCATCCAGTAAGGAGTGTTCTGGGTTCTAGGCGCTAGTTTTACTTACAGCTTCTTTAAGTTTGAATTTTTTCCAAGTCCAATAATTTTAGGAAATCAAGTTTCTTACATGAATGAATTGACAATGAGAGAGAAATGTGTTACCAGAATTGCCTCTAAAAAGAAAAATAGTTTAAATTTATTGGATAGCCTTTGAACTCATTAATAAACGAGTAAGCAGATGTGTCCTGTCCCATGTGCTAGACGTGGTGCTGGCCCTGGTGAGTGACAGAGGCATGGCTGCCTCTCAACCCAGCAGTGCAGGGGTGAGCCTTTCCGCCTCCACAGGAAGTGCTCTGGAGGAAGGAAGCGTGGAGAGGAGATCAACAGGGTCCCTTCTGGGGAGAGGGGTGGCGTACCTGAAGGCCCAGGCAGGAAAGCTGCAGGAGCTGAAGGGACACCAGGGAAGGCAGGCCAGAGGGGACAGGAGAGTGAGTGAAAGAGCAGCCCGACTCCTGTTAGACAGAGTCCACACCCAGGGACTTACCACCTGGTACCTGGCAGCTCAAAGTCAGCAGCCATTTTTTTAAAATATTTATTTATTTATTTATTTTAGGTGTAGATGGACACAACACAATGCCTTTATTTTTATGTAGTGCTGAGGATCAAACCCGGGTCCCGCCCGAACGAGGCGAGCGCTCAACCCCTGAGCCACAATCCTAGCCCCAGCAGCCATTTTTAAGCAAGGCCATACGCTAAGGGAGGATCATTAAGCCTGTTGAGTTTATTTTAATGACTCTAGAAAAACTTCACAAGTGACACAACTTCTTTTTGTTTTTGTTTTTTGATACTACCACTGAGCCACATCCCCAGCCCTTCTTATTTTTTATTTACAGACAGGGTCTTGCTAAATTGCTTAGGGCCTTGCTAAGTTGCTGAGGGTGGCTTTGAACTTGCGGTCCTCCTGCCTTGGCCTCCCTGGTTGCTGGGATTACAGGCGTGGGCCACCACACCCAGTGTGACATGACCCTCCTGCGGGTGAGAATATCACTCAGGATGGCTGACTGCATTTGATCATCAGAGTAAGCATAATAAGATCAAGAGAGGGGTTTTTCTTTAGTGAGAACATAAAATTATAGAATAGATTTGCCCTTTCAGAAGCCCCTCTGTGTATCAAGTCTCACTGCAGCAATGGTGTTAAGAGGTGGGACCTGGAGAAGTGACTGGGGGAAGGTGCCTCTCGTATGAAGGGCCTAGGTGCCCTTAGAGGAGCTGGCGCAGGGAATGTGCCTTCCCCGCCCTCCTGCCTTCCCCACGTGGGCCCCGGCACTCCTCTTCTTCAGGGGAGCGACACAGTAAGAAGCCGGATACCAGCTGCTGGTGCCTTGGCGGTGCACCCCAAGGACTCCTCCTCCAGAGCTGTCGGAGGTGACCTGCTGCTGCTGCAAGAGTCGCCGGGCTCAGGCACCAGGCAGCAGCAGGGACATTAGGCCACAGTGTATGGGGCCTTGGCCAGCTGCCTCCTGTGCCACCCTCCTGTGGGCCATCGGTGCTGTGGTGCTGTCCTACGCGTCTGTAGCCGTGGGGCCAGGCCCTCCAGTTCTGGGTCCTTCCAGTTTCACCCACCACCACCCACTGGCACCTACCCAAGGCTGGGGTCCTTCCCAAGGGCTGGAGTCACCCTGAGCAGCGGCTCCCCCTCCTTCCCCTGCATTTCCTGGCTCCTGCCCGACCTCCGGGAGCAAGGCTACCTAACTGGAAGTTCCTCTTGCCAGGCCACCCTCATAGGAGGAAGGGGTGGAAATGTGAAAGAGACCCCAGGGGAAGAAATAAACTTCCCAGCCTCCCTGCTGAGAGCCCAGTGACCCGCACCCTAGCAGGAATCGCTTTAAACTCCCTGAAACAGGACAAGGGGGTCGGGGGCACCGCCTTGAGCCTCCTGGAAGTCAAGGTGTGTGGGGGTGTTAACGACTCATTTGGCCCAATCATTTAATGTGGGTGTTTTTAGATGCAGGGCAGAGAGGTGCATTGACTCTGTGCTGTGTCTTTCAGATCTGATTAGTCACCCCATGCTGGCCACCTTCCCCCAGCTCCTGGAGCAGCCCGACGTGATGGACGCCCTCAGGGTGAGTAGACGGTGCCCATGCACCTGCTGGCTTCGCTTTAGTGAGCTCTGTCACCCAGGTCTGTCACCTGTTCAGTAGATGGCATCTCCTAGGACTGTTCCGCTGTCAGGGTACAAGCTCTTGCCAGGCCACCCCCCCTGACCCAGCAGCACGAGGTACCTATGGTCCCTGTGGCATTTTTGTGCCTGCTTCTTTCTGGGCTTAACATGACCACCAGTGACGTCCTAAAAGCGGAAACCCATCAGCTGAGTTCTCAGAGGCGAGTCAGGGCACGCAGCGCTCCTGAGGGCCAGTCCACACGGGTTGCTGCGTCTAGAACAGCAGGGACGTTAGGCCAGAGCACGCGACATCTCCAGTGTCCAGTGGCTTTGGCCTTAAGAGATGGCGGGTCCCCATGGCTCAAGCTAATATGTCAGGATTAAAAAACATTAGAGGACCCATGTTCATGCTATGTGCGTGCCCAGAGCAGGACGGTGCCCTGGGCCGTGGCGACTTAAAGAAGGCAGCAGTGCTTCATTAAGGAGCTCTGGGCTGGGCCAGCGAGGATTTCAACTCATGAGGGCAGGTGAAGACGCTGAGCAGACATTCCAGGCAAGAAGGAATCAGTGGAGAGTGTTCTAGAAGAGAGCCGTTTTCTGGTTTGGCACAGTGGGTGCAGGCCAGGGAGCGACGGAGCGTGGGCAAGGTCGCGGACCCAGTGTGGAGGGCACGGGCACAGGGAGTGGTTCCCGCCAGGCTTGTGCTGCAGGTGGGCTCCTCCTCAGCCCATGTGCAGGAAGGAGCGGCCGGGCTCTGGGGACTCAGTGGCTAGGAGGGTGGTCAGAGGGCCTGACAGCAAAGGTGGAAGGCCTCGGTCGTCCCTGGAGATCTCCGGACCTGCAGCTGACTGCATGCTGGCTTGACTGGAATGGGGGAATAAGAAGATTCTCTTTGGACCTTTTTCAGCAAAAAGGTCATGGCTGTGGCCACTTGCATGGTCCCCTGGGGCTGTACTGAACGGTGCAGTGTTGGTCTTGCTTCCCTCTGAAGTCACTAGCGCAGGGCAGCTGTTCACTGAGGGCTGGGCCTTTTCGCCACAGGAACGTCTCTGTTAGGGGGACCGCAGGGCCAGGCTAACCGACAGCTGTGTGTCCTTGAGAAGCAGGTGGCTTAGAAACGTGCAGTGACCTGACTGGCCCCGGAGTTCATCAGGGCCAATCAGGGCTGTCACCGAGGGCCAGCTGGGTGCAGCCAGTTAGGCCACAGGCTGGGCCACAGAGCACACACAGAGAAAGCCGTTCAGTCTGTTGCGACATGAAGGAAAAACACCTCGTTTGGGACAAGCTGGGTACGTGTGGGTGGTGTATCCACGGAGAGAGCTGCATGCGTGTGTGCACGTTCGTGTGCCGGTGTGGGTACATGTGGTTACGTGTTACTTACACAGGGGGGAAGTCTGTGAGAACATCTGGAAGATGATGCTCCAGGAAACTACCAGTGATGGCCTCTGGGTCATGGGTCATTTTAATCTGTATTATCTTAATTTTTCCATAGTGAATCTTTGTCTGATAAATAATAGAAATGGCAGAGTGTTTGCACCACACTCTCCAGCCTTCTGCCCTGGCCTGTTGTGTAACAGGACAAGCAAGGCTTCGCCAGCCGCCCACACGGGCCTGGGCTGGCTTCTCACTCATGGACCCTGCCCAGCTTGGGTCAGCGAAGACCCTGCTCCATGGTCCCCCAAGAGTGTGGGCTGGCAGAGGCCCACTCTGAGGGCATCATCCAGAACTAGAACAAGCAGCCTCCTCTGCTGCCCATTGTCCCTGCAGGAACAGGGAGAGGACTGAGGGAGGTTTGTCCGTGGGATCTCCACAGCCTTCGCCCTGAGGGTGCCTGGGCCAGCACTAGTTCTGTGGGCCACCGACTTGAAGAGAGCCAGGGGCAGGGGCTTCTGTCTGCTGCAGAGAGGAAGAAGGGGCCTGGTGCAGAGCAGGGCTGTGGGAAAGAGCTGACCGCTGGCTGCTGCTCAGTGAAAGATGGCGCAGGATGTCACCAACAATAGGCAGAGTTTACCGCAGAGTCGGTCTAAAGCTGCTCAGTGATATTCACATTAAGCCATATTGTCTTCAGATTTACATGATGAAGTGCGTGCACCTCTTGATGTATTTAAATAAGTGCAGTTTTGTTATGGGTTTTTTTTTTTTTTTTTTTTTGAGATGGGGTCTCACTAAGTTGCTTAGGGCCTCACTAAACTGCCGAGGCTGGCCTCAAACTTGCAATCCTCTTGCCTCAGCCTCCTGAGTCCTGGGATTACAGCTGTGCACCACCATGCTCAGCATGTGATTAGCTTTTAATAATAAGAATGGTGCCTGGCCTGATTAGTAAAGTATTCTGGCACTTTAAGGGGCCTCTTCAGGCCTTTGAGGACCTCCAGGCAATGGTGAACAGTCAGTAGTGTGGGGAACCATGGTCCAATGAGGCAGTGAAAATTGAACACTCCAGAACCTTCTCACAGTGGCTTCATCTGTGATCACCTCTGCCGTGTGGGTCTGGTACCTGGTGATTGGCAGCCTCTCTGTCATAGAGACTCTCTTTCCTGGCACCCGTGTCCATGAGCACCCCAGAGTCTCCCTCCTGAGAATGGGGTGCGGCCTGCAGGTGTACCACAAACCAGGCCCCAGCAGGGGAAGCCTCCTGCACCCAGGGCAGGAGGCAGCCCTGAGGCTGGCCGTGCTCCATCCAGGCTCACGGGCTGCCAGGACCAGGGCTGGGAACTCCAGTCCATACCCCATGGGATCAGTTACCCCGGGGTTTCTTATTTCTCTAAAGGAGCTTTTGTGAAGCCTGTGGGCAGGCTGGGAATATTGCAAAACTGCTTCACTCTATCTCCCCCATCCATGGGCATTGCATGGCAGCAGGATTGTCGGGGACTGTAGCATCTGGTAGTGTTTTCTTGATGATGTCTTACCTTGGAAGCTCAATGCTAGCTCACAGCCCTAGCCTGTGGCAGTGCAGACCGCACGGCTTGTGGCTGCTGCTGGTTCTCTTAAGTTGGTTCTGACTTATAAGAACTGAGCTCCTGGGGCACACCTCTGCCGTGTGGGTCTGGTACCTGGTGATTGGCAGCAGGTGTGTCATTTGGTCACTCTGTGCCATTCCCAACCCAGCCCGCAGGTTCCCTCAGAGACAAGCTGCAGAAGTGCTGCAGGGACACGGGACTGACCTCTTTCTGTTTGCTTTTCTAGAGTTCGTGGGCTGAGAGAGAAAGCATGTTGAAAAGATCGGAGAAGGTAATGTGGTTTTCACACTGACTTCGTATTTGCAGCGCTGTTGTTTGCATTCAAGTAGTGCCTCCTTTTTTTTTCCCTATATTTGGTTAGTTGTCAGTAGACTTCATTTATTTGTATGTGCTGCTGAGGATTGCCGCAGTCTGGCTGGGCACAAAATCACGAGCCACTCAAGCAGGAACAAACTTTATTTTTTGAAACTGGCGCCAATGTCCGGTACGCGCCCAGGAAGATTTCCGATCCACACACGCGGCCTCCTCCCGGCACCGCCAGAGAGAGTTCCTCCCCCGGAACTCCCTCCTACTGTACTTCCCCAACCAATGGGAACTCTCCAGGAGTCCCGTAGCAGGCCAAGGTGAACAGCAGGAGTCCAATATCCATATGAATGCGAATCTTAACATAATCATATCATCTCAATGGCTAGCTGGCATCACCTTTCAACCAAAAATGCCATGCATCATATACTTGGCTCTTAGCAGAGGATGGGACCCAGTGCCTCACGAATGCCAGGCAAGCGCTCTGCCACTGAGCCCCGCCCAGCCCCATAATAGTTCTTCTCCAGCCAAGTGGCCACAGTGGTGCTTGCTGTCCGTCAGGGAAACTGTGTCACTGTGGTCACAGTGCACATTCCAAGAAGGGTGTGCATGATCGGGTCTGAATGTGCAAAGGCATCTCAGGTCACTGAGTCTCATTGAAATGAAGGAGTTTCTGAACCAGCCCTTCTGGCTGGCTCTCCAATGTTCCTTACTTTTAAAAATTCCTGTAGCTCTCAATACCCATAGCAGAGAAAGAGAAGGAGAAACCAGCCTAAACTGTGTCACGTATCGGAAATAGTACTTGCTCTGCCTTCTGTTGAGTGGTAATCAGCACATGGAACTTGCAGTGGACAGTGGACCGTGGTGGGGTTTGACTTCTGTAATCCAGGATTTGGCAGCATTTTTCTTTGGGGGATTGGATGGAACCCAGGGACTTAACCACTGAGCATATCCCCAGCCCTTTTTATTTTTATTTTATTATTTTTTTTAAAGAGAGAGAAAGTTTTTTAATATTTTTTTTTAGTTTTCGGCAGACACATCATCTTTTGTTTGTATGTGGTGCTGAGGATTGAACCCGGACCGCACGCATGCCAGACGAGCGCACTACCTCTTGAGCCACATCCCCAGCCCCCAGCCCTTTTTATTTAGAGACAGGATTTCACTTAAGTCCTTAGGGCCTCGCCAAGTTGCTGAGGCTGGCCTCAAACTCGTGATCCTCCTGCCTCAGCCTCCCAAGCCACTGAGGTTACAGGTGTGCACTGCTGCACCTGGCAACAAACTTTGTGTAAATGGCCAGATAGTAAATATTTCTGGCTTTGTAGGTGTCATAGCCTCTGTCAGGACTGCTCAACTCTGGGTGGGGGTGAAGCTCATTTGTAGAGCACTCACTTAGCATGTGTGAGGCCCTGGACTCAAAGCAGCTGCTCCGCTGTGCTGCAGAAGTGGCCGCAGACAGGGCACATGTGGCTGAGTTCCCTGTGTCCCTGTGAAGAGCGAGAAGGATGCTCAGAACTGCAGTCCGCGGCGGCCAGTTCCTGAATGGAGGCGGTGGTCACCTGCAAGGAACGAGGGATAAAGACACACTAATGCCCCTAAACTCAGGGGTCGGGGTCGAGACACTGTCCTGAGTCCCACAGGACTACCCCAGTGCTCGCATGGGCACAGCTGGGGACACACTGTGGGCTCTGCTGCATGTGAAAGCTCTGCCCTGGGCCTGCTGGGCCCTCTGAGACCCACCCGCAGCCGGTGCTGGTGCGCATCACTCTTGTCCCTGGGAGCTTTTGACACCCTCAGGACCCCCACCCCACCCAGGCGTGGCTGCAGATCTTGTCCTGGGGTCTCCTTTCTCTGGACCCCATGCAGGACACAGCCGTCCCCATGGCGTGACCATGGCTCTGATAGGCTGTGGCGGAGCCGAGTCGATAGCTGGCTTTGCTGTGTTTGGTTGTCTGGCCTGGACCATGCCCTGTCACCCATCCGACCTCAGCACCCTGGTGGCTCGGGCCGGGCCGAGCTCCCCTTCTTGCCCACCCTGCTCCCGCCCCAGGCGGCTGTACCCCCTGCCGGGCCCCAGGGCACCCTCCACCCCGCCCCCAGGTGGCTGTCGTGCCTCAGGTGCAGCGAGTGGGCCGTCCTGGTCACTTGTGGTTTTGGCATTTTCCCAGAGAGACCCCGAGTGCCTGAAGGCCACCTTCCTCCTGGTCTACCACGACTGCGCATGGCCGCTCCTGTGCTCCACGCTGCTGCCCCCGCTGCACTGGGCAGAAGAGGAGAGCGAGGGGGCTCGCTGGAGGGCCATTGCTGACTTCCTCAAGCAGAACCAGGAGCACGGGGGTGCCCTGCGCGCTCTCCTGTCCCCAGATGGGGCCCACCAGCCCTTCGACCTCTCAGAGCAGGCCTATGACTTCCTGGGCGAGGTAAGGAAGCTGTCAGCCTGACCCAGCGGCCCGGCCCCTGCTCCAGAGCCAAAGGCAGCTGCCCATGGGATCGGGTCTCACCCCCTTTTTGGGTACAGATTGTGTTTTTTAAGAAATAGTTATATAATTTGAGTAGGTTTTAAAACAATAAATTTTATAAGAAATACTGTCGCATCTAAATTTGAAGACTTTAAAAAAAATAAGTTGGCAATGTCAGTTTCTATAAAAGCAAGATTTTATCAAAAACTAAATTAATGACCATTTAAAAAAGTGAAGGGACAGTGCACTGGATAGGAGAAGGTATTTCCAAGCCACATATCTGATAAGAGTTTAGGATCCAGAATACATAAAATGTATGATCGTTGCTACTAAAATTTTTGTTGTTTGAGAAATTAAGTGTATTTAAGCACTTAATTCTGTCTGATATTTGAATGTTATTTATTCCTAATTAGATACAAAAGCAGAATCGTTTTTTTCCTTTTCAAGTCAGCATAGTAAGTGCTCTGTCAAAAAACAAGAAAAAATCCTTCCAGCCTGGTCCCTTTAGAGAACAGAGAGGAGTTCATCCCATCTTGTTGCGTTTTGAGTGAAATTGTGACTTCTGGTGGAAGGTCCCTAGCCTTTGCTGTTAGAAGCAGGCAGTAGCAGCTGGCATTAGCTGAGTACCTACTGTGTGCCTAGCGCTTGGGTTAACCTGCCAGTTCTCCCCACTGCTACTGAAGTAACAAGCCAGGTGGAATAAACAGTTTGCTCAGGTCAGAGCTGGCAAATGTCACAGCTGACACTCAAGGGAAGACACCATGGTAAGTTTCTTCTGCCTACCATGTTCTGCCTCATCCATGCAAACCTTTAAGAAACATGCGTACAAATAAAATTTGAGAGAGCTATTTGAAGAAAAGTGTGAATGAATTAGAAAAAAATTAACTTAAACTCTTAAAAGTACCTATGAGGTACTTGTGTTTTGGCAGCATGCCATCTTAAAAGAGGCTTTTTTAGAGGTTTATCATATTATGAAACTTCTGGATTACATCTTAGTTAACTTACTCAAAGCCCTTAACCTAGACTTGGTCCTTTTATGGGTTCATTTCTGTTACTATAACAGAATACCTGAGGCTAGAGACTTATGAAGAAAAGAGTTTTATTTAGCTCACAGCTCTGGAGGTTCAAGAGCACAGCACTAGTACCAGCTGGGCTCTGGTGAGGGCCTCACAGCAGATGGCATCACAACAGCAGGAGCTAATGCATGAGAGAGGGTGCCAGGTGAGAAGTGAGCCCCCGGGTGGGGAACCACGCACTCTCTCGAGAACTAACTCGGGCCCCACAAGAGCCACCTGCTGCCAGCAGGCCTCACCCGCTCTTCACATGGCCCCGGGGACCAGGCTTCCAACCCCTGAAATTTGGGGGACTCACATTCAAATCGGAGCAGCCTTTAACTTCAGAAGTTAGCCTGGCATGAAGGGACCCCAGCGGCGGCTGCCAGGTGAGAACTTGGCCCGGAGAGCTTCCACTTATCCCCAGGAGCTGGGTTCCAGGGTGTGCCCCTCTGTGTCCCCTTCTGCCCTCGGTGACATGTGGATGACACGTAAGAGGCAGGAAGACCCTCTCCTTGCCCATCATGAAGCAGCCTCAGTGGACCCTTCCCAGTGGCACCTCTGCTGAGGTGGCGAGCCCCCAAGGGACTGGTTCCTGCCCTGTCACCCAGTCACCTTAGTCCCCGAAGGCCTGTTCTCGGAGGAACCCAAGACTTTCCCCTGCCCCACTGGGAACGTCGCTCACTGTGGGATCTACTTCCTAAGTCCCACCTTTTTATTTTTTAAGCATTGGCCTGTTCTTGGCAGGAAGCCAGGTAGGGCGTTGGGGTGGAGCGCTGGCAGGAGCAGGAGAAGAACTGGTCCAGGGTCCCCACTGCCTCCCTGCTCATCTGAGGAGGTGTCAGGAGTCAGCTTCGAGTTTCTGAAGCACAGGGACAGGAGAGGGGCCAGAAAGTGAGGGTCACAGGAGTCAGCCTGGCTGGCGGGGACAGGGCGGGGACAGGCCCAGGGCTGGGCGGCTGCTGCTGAGGGCCGTTGCCTCTTCAGGCAGCACGATATTTTTTTTTTTTTTCCCAGCAAAACCTCTCTGAGTTTTTAAATGCCACTTTTGAGCTTTCACAACAGGAAGGGGTTGTCAGGGCGCCAGAGACATCCTGGCCAGGAGCCCGGGGTCCTGTGGGGAGCACTCCTTAGCAGCACACTAGCCACAGTGGGCGACTGCACGTCCTGCCTGTCCTCCCAGTCCTCCAGGCCCTGAAGCCAGGGACCCCACACCAGAACCACATCCCTCTCCATCTCCTGACCTCCCAGCGTTGGTCGGGTCTGCTGGAGGTGAGAGTCACGGCTGTGCCCCTGTTTGGATGCCTGGGACAAATGCCAGGGCAGAGGTACATCCAAAACCAGTTGATGGCACCCGCAGCTTGGCCTCGCCATCCAGTGCAGTGAGAAGCCCCCCTGCTCCCACAGGCTCCAGTAGTGTCACCTGTGCCGCTGGGAAGTCCCCCTGCTCCCATGGGCTCCTTCAGTGTCACCTGTGCTGCTGGGAAGCCCCCTGCTCCCACGGGCTCCAGCAGTGTCCCCTGCCAGCAGCAGTGTGCGCGACCTCTGCTGGGACTGGCTCTGCTTCCTTTGCACTGAGCATCCCCGGCCGGCCAGAGGGTGTTCAGGGCAAGGAGGTGGTCAGAGCTGGCGGTCACCTCGCTGCCTGCTGTGGGCGCCATTTCTCAGAGCTGGCGGGAACAGGACCGCCCTTGGCGCTGCGCTCTGGGGCTTCTAACTGTTCACTCCTCGACTCCACACGTGGCCACGTCACAGGCCCTGGGCTCCAGGCACAGCACAGGCACCAGGGGACAGCAGTTGCCCACAGCAACTGGAGGCAAGGGTACTCATGGCTGGGTGGTCCTGGCCTTGTGTTTTGTTGGTGTCATATTTAAACCCACCAATCCTGTGGCCTGGGAGGTTCCCGGCCTCATGGTGGCGAAGTCAGGGGCGAGGACACAGGTGTCCTTCCCCTCCTACCCCCCCCCCCAGCTCCCTCACTGGCTCTCAGGGTCCAGGTGACTCTGCAGCTCTCGGAATCCAGTCGCGGGGCCCGTGTGATTTGCCACGGGAACCAGATGGGCGTGGGCAAGGGCTGGGCATGGACATAGGAAAGCGGAGGGTGGACCCACGGGCCATGGAGGCCTGGGTGGCTGGGTCAGCACTGCTGGCTGACCCCTGGCCTGCAGGCCTGCGAGCAGCAGGAGAGCCCAGAGATCACCAGTGGCCTCCAGCGGCTCAGGTCCTGTCCCGTTTTGAGGACAGGGTGGACCTTAACCAGCCGCTCCTGTGGGACTCTGCCAGCAGCCAGTGCTTCAGAACTTTGTCCTCGCAGAGCCACACCGAGCTCCTCTGGAGGGGGGGGTATCTGGAAGACTCGTTTCCCATGAGTCTGTTCTGCTAGCTGTCCTTTGACCCTGGAGTGCACCCGGCTGGCTCTGACCATTGTTAGGGACACTGGGAGCCAGGTTCCCTGGACACAGCACTACCCCCAGCTCCCCAGCCCGTCCTCCCTGCACCCTGCCACCCAGGGAGTGTTGAGGTGACTGAAGTAAAGACATTAGCTGTTTCCAGCTGGGCCTGTGTCGTGTGACGTCAAGGGGACAGGCTGTGTCCTACGGCCTCCACTGCGGGGACCGTCAGAGTGGACAGAGTTCCCAGCCCAACATCCACGTCCCCCTCACGTGGCTCCCCCCCACCTTGGGGCAAGGCCTGAGTCACTGGTGAAGTCACCTGAAGCCAGCTACCCTGCACTCATCACTTCCCTGAGCTAATGACTTCCCCTCCCTGGGAAGGAGGGAAATGGGTCCCCTAAGAACTGGGCCCCCTGGCGCTGGCTGTGGAAGGATCCTAGTGGACACGACAGTCTGTTCTCCCAGCTCCCTCTGGCTGGCCTGCGGCCTGACACTGTGTGTTGGTGACTGACTGTAGGTCATTTCTGAAGAACATGCAGAGCACGTGTGGGCAGGAGAGGATCTAGGGAAGGAGAGAGAGAAACAGTTGTCCCCAAAGTCCTTGTGACTGAGGTGGATCAGTCCTGCAGAAGCACTTACCGGGGTGCTCTGTGTGCCAGGAATTCAAGATGGCGCAGTGGCCATGGTCCTCCACAAGAACGAGGCCATCGCTGCCCTGAAGCCCATGTCCCAGGGGAGGGTGCGGGGGAGGGCCGAGAAACAACAGGCGAATGGGTAGGCGAGAGGGACTGGGGCAGCGATGAGCAGGGGACAATGACGGCTGGGTCACTTCAGCTGTGATCAAGTAGAGAAAGCTGTCCCCCTCTGCCACCAAGTGCAGCGAAGGGCCCTGGGCAGATTGCACGCAGCTGCTCTCTGGGAACCCCCAGAAGCAAATGGAGCAGGATGTGGAAGGAACCAGATTCAGGACACTACCCAGCTGGTGCTGAGCATCCCGTTTTCCCAGACTGGACTCAGAGGCACCTGAATCCCAGAGCTGGACACAAGACACAAAGACATCTCCAGAAGAAGCCCTCTTATTTCTGGTCCCAGGAATTGGAAAGAGACCCCCTGCAGGTCAGAGAGAGTGAACAAACCCTCTCACTGTTTCCTGTCCCAGGCCATGTAATGACAGTAGCAAGGCCAGGGGCGGCCGGGAAAGTACCTCTAACTGAGGAAGGGGTCTGTCCCCCCAGCAGAGGAGCCCTGGTCCTGAGAGCACAGGGGGATCCCCGATTCTTCCTCACCCCCAAACTGCTTGTCAGCCCCTGAGATAGACATGGTCACAGGAATGAAAACCCGAGTTTTGTCCAGAGGACCAGGGTGAGAGTGGAGGGGCAGGCTGCTGGGACCTGGGAGGTGTCGGGGGACACAGCAAGGGAGCTCAAGAAAACTGTCCCATAAAATAGTAGATCACTATCTGAGCTCACTCCAAAGCTGACCCCAAACAGAATCCCAAAGGCTTTCAGAACTGAGTCACAGGGACCCAGGCTGGTCTCAGGCCCAGGATTGTCACACTAACCAGATCCGAATGGCCCTGCAGAGCTAAGAACATCTCACACCTAAACCACAGCCCAGAGCAGGCGAGGGACCCCGGCAGGAACCCGACAGGCTGCCTGCCTGGACAAACAAAGTCAGTATCAAGGGGCTGGGGACATAGCTCCGTGGTAGAGGGCTGGGCTCGCAGGCACAAGGCCTTGGGTACAATCCCCAACACCACCAAAAAAACAAAACAAAAATCAGTTTCAAAACAGGATTTAAACACGACTCAGCACAAGACACCATAGTCATGATGTCCAGGATACGGTCCAAAATGACAGGAAAATCTCAACATCTCTGAAGGGAAAAGAAAATCAGAGACATCAAGAGACCACTCCAAGATGGCCCAGTGTGAGACTGAGACCCTGAGGCAGCGGTTGTGACCATGCTCTAAGAAGGAAGGGCAGCCTTTCACAGTGAAAGGGAAGACAGCCCATTGCACAGAGAAACAGGAGAGAACCGAACTGAAATCTGAGAAAAAAATATAAATAATAACCAAATGACAGAATTTAGTAACAGACTCAATGCACTGATGGAGCCAGTCCAGGGCGCAGAGGGCCCGAGTCAGAGGCTCTACACAGGTCGCTGTGAGGAGTTGTCCAGACTTAACAACAAAAGGAAATCGATTAATAGATGGAAAAATAAACTCACAGGTTGTACAAAGCCAAGAGTCTAACATTCCTCAGGGTCTCAGGGGGAGGGAAGAAAGTGTAATGAGGGGGAAAAAAAAACCACTATTTTTTCTTTTTTTTGCGGTGCTGAGACTTGAACCCAGGGGTGCTTTACCCCTGAGGTACATCCCCAGCCCCCCTTTTTTTGAGTCAGGGTCACACTAAATTGCGCAGGCTGGTCTCACACTTATGATTCTGTCGGCCTCCCAGGTCACAGAACATGCCCTGCTCAGAAAAAAAACTTTTGAAAAAATAATGACTGAAAATGTCCCAAATTTGGTAAAAGCCATCAAGTTAAAGATTTAAGAAACTCAGTGAGCACCAAGCGAGATAAGTCCCGGTGTTACAATCAAACTACTAAAACTGAAACCAAGTAGAAACATTGAAAGCAGCCAGAGAAAAACAATGCATAAAAAAAATGGAGTGACAGTAGAATGACTGCAGAGTCCTTATCAGAAACCACCGGGTGGCCTGGGTTTTTTTGTTTTTGGTTTTGGAGTTTTTTGGTTTTTGTACTGGGCATTAAACTCAGGGGTACTTGGCCACTGAGCCACATCCCCAGCCCTATTTTGCATTTTCTTGTGAGACAGGATCTCACTGAGTCACTTAGCGCCTCACTTTTGCTGAGACTGGCTCTGAACTCACCATCCTCCTGCCTCAGCCTCCTGAGCTGCTGGGATTACAGGCGTGTGCCACTGCGCCCAGCTGGATGACATTTTTAAAGTGGCAAAAGAAAAAAATACATAAACCTGTCATCCCAGAATTCTCTACTCCATAAAAATGTCCTTCGGGAATGGAAGTGACCTGAAGACACTCTCAGATGAAGAAACACTAAGGAATTCATTGCGGGCAAACTTACCCTGAGAGAAGTGCTAAAGGAAGTTCTTCAGGCAGAAGGAAATCGCACCAGAAGAAAGGGATATAAATGGCAACCATGTGGGCTAATATGATAGGTTATTGTTCTCTTCTGCTTTTTAAAATATGTACAATGGTCTTGGATTTTTATGTCCCTTCTGCGATGACAGCTATACTGAAAGACAAGAGGGTGGAGACCTGCACAGTGGTGAGGTCCATCTGAAGTGGCAAATGTCAACTCTGAATGAACTGGGAAGTCACCTCCCACAGCAGCTTCTGCATACAAACTACAAATAGTAAAGAACTTAGTAGGCGAATTAAAGTGAGAATATTAATTAAAATATTCAAAAATCCAAAAGAATTCAGGAACAAGGAAACAGGAATGAAATACAGAGAAAACACACACACACACAAAAAAAAAACCCAAAGTACACATAAATCCAAAAATACCAGTCATTATATTAAATGTAAATTAAAGGCAGCAAATTTCAGAACTATATCACAAACACACACACACACACATCATAAATACAGTGATAGAGGTAAAAGTAAAAGAATAAAAAACATACACTGGGCAAACACCAATGTATCATAATACACATGCAGACACCAATCATAAGCAATTGTAAGTTGTGTACATTGTTAGTGGGATAGAAATGTCTCAGCCGTTTTGGAAAGCAGCTTGACATTATCTGCTAAAAACAGGTACCATGTGACCTGTAATCCCCCCTTAACATATTCCAACAGAAATGCATACACAGATGCCTCTAAAGACTATTCTAGATGGGCTGGGGTTGTAGCTCAGCGGTAGAGCACTCACCTAGCTCGTCTGAGGTCCTGGGTTCAATCCCCAGCACCACATAAAAATAAATAAATAAAATAGGAGTATTTTGTCCAACTAAACTAAGAAAAAAGGACTATTTTAGAATAGTAATAACCCCAAATGGAATGTTAGTAATAACCCCAAATTGAAAAAACCCAAGGTCCATCAACAAGAGAATAAAGAGTAGCTTGTTCATAGAATGTTCATGGAATACTATAAAGCTCTGAATCAACCACATACAATGACATACAATGACGTGGATGGTCCCACACATAACCTGAAGTGAAAGAAGTCAAACACAAACGAATCCTTTCAATAACAGACAAAGCTAACATGTGAGGTTAGAAGTCCAGGGCGGTTATTTGGGGAAGAAGAAGAGAGAACTGGTTGAGGGGCACCTTGGCCGTCTAGGCTCACCCAGGGTTTATTGAGAGTCCTCAATGAACGGTCTTTGTTGGCCACTCTGGGAACAGGGATGAGGCAGGGAAGGGACTGTCACCTGCACTCCGTGCAGAAATACGAATGCCCCGGGATTCAGAAGTTTCTGGGGCCTGACCGTCTGCGAAGACCCGGTCCCGCCCCGCGCCACCCCGCCCCGCCGCGCCCCGCGGTGCGCTGTGGTCCCCAGGGCTGCTGGCTTCGCGAGTGGAAGGACCTGCTCGGCGGGAACGGTTTTTTCCTCCGGGGCGACGTCGTCCGATGGGTGTGTCGGCAGGAGGTGATATTTGAAGGCTGCGGGCTGGAGCAGCGCCGCGGAGCGGAGCAGGGGCGCCAACAGCGGGGGACAGCATGGCCGCGAGGGACCCGCCGCCCCCCACCAGCTACGCGCCGCCCGACGTGCCCCCGGGGGTCGCGCTGTTCCTCACCATCCCCTACGCCTTCTTCCTGCCCGAGCTGGTGAGTGCCACCGCCACCCGCGGGAGGCGACGGGAGGTCGCCCGGGGACGGGACCTGGCGGGGACCGGGACCTGGCGGGGACCGGGACCTGGCGGCGCCGCGGTGGTCGCGGTCTCCGCACCCGCAGAGCCACAGGCGCCCGGCAGGCTGTGCCCCCTGGGCTTGGGCGGCCTGGCGGGGATCCCTCCCTCCGTAGAGAAACCCGCACGGGAGGGACAAGCGGTCACTTGGTGGCTGGACGCTTGCGGCCCCTCCTAGGCTAGCGGGGACCTCTGGACCTGTTGCCAGTGGGCTTTTCCCATGTGATTCCTTTTCCCCACTCGGGTGCTTTTCTGAAGCTCAGAAAGCCGGCAGGGGTCTGGCCCAGGCTCCCAAGGGCCTCCAATATCTTCCCGGCTGATTGACAGCCGCCTTGAACTTTGATTTATGTGGCGCTGCACAGGAGGCTGGGGACAAATCCACCATAAAACAGTCTCCAGATGCCCTGGGTACACCGGGATCTGATGGTGACACAGCACTGGCACTCAGACCTGTGCACAGCTTCCCCAGAGCCCCCTGTCCCCGAGGTGGCTGCTGTCCCCTCTCACTGAGGGCCGCTGGAGCCTGGCCAACAATCCAGGGCCAAGGGGCTCTGCGTTTCTGGATCCTTCTGAAGCTCCCGTGTGTGGGGGGGTGGGGGGGGGGGGGGGGGGGTATTTACTTTCCTGCTTAGAACTAGCCAAGATGGAAAGTGGACTCGCCCACAGAGATTGGACCTGACCCGTCCCCTGCCCCCTCCCCATGCACCAGGATGGTTGGGCGGACCAAATGCACTTCAGGCAAACTGGTTAAAGGGCAGCCATCCACGTCCTGAAGCTAGGCTGGGCAGGTCGGCATGGGGGGGACTCTAGCCGAAACCCCACCCAAGGGCAGGTTCCTGCCAAGCCCGCCACCCCCAGGCATGAACGTGGGCATCTGGCCAGACTGATGACATCTTAGTGCTCGTATGAATTCTGTGGTTAAGGCCTGGGTGTGTCCTTCACCTTGGGACACGGGCTGCCAGGATTGTGGTGGCTTCACCACTTTTTATTGAGTGCATGCCTTTTGACAATCAGTCACTGTAGACACTGGTGGCCGGGCCACTGCCTGCCAGCAGTCCATCGGGCCCTTCTGCTGTGGAGGGACTCAGGGGCTTTCCTCTCTGCAGCCAGGCTATCTGTCCTGGCCAGCTCAGGGCGGGGCCCAGGCCTGTCCCTGGGAGTTGGACCTCAGAGGAGTGGCTGGATTTTCAGACTGGGAGGAGGGACAGAGAAGCTCCAGCCGCCAGGAGGGAAGAGCCCAGGAGGCTGGACGGATGCAGCTTCTGAGTCAGGAAAGTGCCCGGGGCTGACCACGTGCCCCCACGGCCGTTCCTGCAGTGGCGCCTGAGGAATGAGGCTCCTGCAGAGGGTTCCACGTGCCCTCCACCCAGCCTCCTCTGGGTCCCGACTCCCTGGTGTGGCTCTCATGGTCAGGAACTTGACATGGATACTGTGTTATCCACTGTTCTGTTCAGAGTTGTTCACGTCCCCCACCGATGTCCTCCTTCTGGTGCAGGGTCCAGGTTAGGGTCTCGCATGGCATTGAGCTGTCCTGTCTCCTGTGCCCTTTAACCTGGATGGCTCCTAGCTCTGCCCTGATTCTCTGGAAGGAGTGATGATGAGGCACATGGTGCGTGTGTTCACACGCAGACACAGATGCATGTTAAATGGGGTGTTCTCTACTCTTGTTCTGCTCCTTAAACGAGCGTGCCTCGCGTGGAATTAGAGCAGGGTGTGCCTTGGACTCCCGGAAGGGATGAGGAGGGAGGGCAGACTCAGCCCAGCCCAAGTCCTCTCTGGCTTGGTGGCCTGGTGGTGTCGCCTGCTGCTGTGTGACAGCACCAGGCCTCGGGGTGTGGCCAGTTCGGTCTCGGGGCTTAAGGCGTCATGGACAGGTATATGTCTTTCTAAAGATATGAGTCCAGAGACTGGGGTGTAAAACTGGGGCTCGGGCCAGCAAAGGCGCACAGAGAAAGGGAAATCCAGTAACTGGGATCCCAGTGTCCTCCGAGGTGGGGACAGCCCAGGGAGGACATGGCGTGGGCAGTGTCTGCAGGCACCCTTCCCTCCAGCCTGTCCACAGAGCAGCCTGAGCTGAGGACCTGCCCAGTTGCACACGGAGCCCGGTGGTGCCCACCAGCACTGTCCCACGGGAGCTCAGATGAGGCTCCCACTGGCTTCCCTAGGGCCACATGTCCTCCTGGCTGGGCAGGGGCAGCCTCTGGCCCTCTGTGGTTCCTAAGGATGACATTCTAGGATGACCCAGACTCCAAAGGGGCTCTGCAGTCCCCACCTCTGGTCCCCTGCCACCTGCTCCTACCGATCTCTGTCTAAGGAGGTTTGTTTTCAAGTCTTGGACATTAAAACTCACAGTTGCCGGGATGGGGCAGGGGCGTCTCCTGCACCCTTCCCACAAGCCCCTATGGTTAAGTCTCTTTTGATTAGAATCCGGGGTCAAAACCAGGGAGCTGGCCTTGGTAAGGCGGATCTTGACCCCTGTGTCTCACAGGCAGTGAGTCACAGAATCCAGATGAGGATCAAGGTCAAGGACAATCCCCTCACCATAGCCAAACCCCAGCCATCCCACCCTCCCTCACCCCGCCCTGAATGCACCCCGGGAAACCACCACTCTACCACTATGATTTTGTTATTTCAAAAAAGTTGTAGAAATAAACAGGATCACACAGCGTGTGGCCTTTTGAGACCAGCTCCTTCGCTCAGCTCTGTCCCTTGATGCCCACCCAGGACATGGTGTGTCCTCTCCTGCTCTCCTTCCCCTCCCATGTTGGGGACTGGCTGAGTCTGTTTAACCAGCCACCCGCTGAGAAACAGCAAAGCTCTTCAGAAGGTTCATGTACAGACTTTTGTGTGGATGTAATTTCCATCTCTCTGGGGAAAATGCCCAGAGCAAATGAGCAAATGCATCCTGTAAGTCACCAAGGGTCTCCTGAGATGAACTGCCACTCAAGCACCAGGCTCCGCCCCTGGGGGGGACACAAGAACAAGAAGCTAAAGGGGGGAAAGGTGGGCCGTGGGCCCTGTCTTTACAGAGTGGAGCAACTGACACTGCAGGGTGGACTAGTAAGGGACGGTTGTGGGTTTTGTTGGTGGTGATACTAGGGACTGAACATACGGTGCTTTACCACTGAGCTACATCCTGAGTCTTTTAAATTTTTTTAACTTTTAGACAGGATCTTGCTAAGTTGCTGAGGCTGGCCCCGAACTTGTGATCCTCCTGCCTCAGCCTCCCACGCCTCTGGGATTACAGGCGTGCGCCACTGTGACCGGCTCTGCTGGGTTTTTATTGAGAAACTGAGGAGCTTTTTTCCAGGGTGGCTGCAAAATAGCTTTTGCATTTTCCATTCCCACCAGCCAGGCATGTGCATGTGTCCCACTGACATTTGTGTTTTATCCGGTGTGCTGTGGAATTTGGGCTTCTCATTTGAAACTGAGAATTTGGCAACAATCTCCGAGGGTGAGGAAGCTCTGATATGATGAATTTAAAGATAAGAGTGCACATCCCATCCGGGCTTCCCTCTCTCCCCTGGGTGGGTGGGGGCACCGGCTGCTGCCAGCACTGTGCTGCCCAGGCTGGTGACATCCAGCTGACCTCGCTCCTCAGAGCCAGCTGTGTGCGATGGATGGGCCACCAGGCAGTGGCCTGCGGGGTAGGTGTTGGCTCCAGAGCTCTTCAAAGGCTGGAAAGTAGAAGCTGAGAGCACCCGGGGGTGGCTCCCACCAAGGGTGCTTTATGGATAAGAGTCCAGCGAAGTCTCACCACTTTAACCCTGACTCTAGCTGACTTAATGAGATTTTGCCTAATTAAAAGGAAACAGGAAGGAGAGTCCAGAGACGCGGCCAGTTCAAAGGGGAGATGTGTGAACGCTGCTGTTAGATCTCTCCATTTCCACTTCTCCACTCGCCCGCAGACCATCAGAGGGAAATGCTAAGGTGCTCTTAGAAGTTCTTTCCAGACTCCTCCAACTTGGGAAGTTCATCCTTATGTCTTACTCAAATCCCCAGTATGGGAAGTTCACCTATTCTTACCTAAGTCTCCAGGGTCACCTTAATTTCCACCTCCTGCTTCCTCCACTCTGTGTGTATGAGCCTGTCTGACAATCGCTGCAGCCTGGCACGGTGTCCAAGGCCAACTCTGCAAGGCCTGAAAGTGATGAGGTGGGACTAGAGGAAGCATGAGGCCCCTCCCCAGGCCCCCGTCACATCCTTAGGACACGTCCTTAGATGCTGAGTGTTCTGGAAGGGAAGTCCTCTCCCCGCTGCCCTCCGCCTGTCAGTCCACCTCCAGCTCCTGGGGCTGCTGGGGTTGCTCAGGGCACCAGCCGCATCCCACCTGCACCCCCCCATGGCCCCCCGCCCTTATTGTCCTGCAGGACGTGGGAGCCAGCGCTCTCCGCACCAGGGTACCTGTGAGCCCCACCAGAACGGTGCCCAGGGACGCCCCTGGAAGCAGGTGACAGGGAAGGGAGGACAGAGAGGAAGGGATGTTACCAGGGCCAAGAGGAGCATGGGGCAGGAGGACCCTGGACGAGGTGGGGCGGAGGCCATGGGAGCCTCTCAGAAGCCCCCTGGGCCACCCCGGCTCCCTGCACCAGGCCTAGCCCTACTGGGAGACCCCCAGTGCATCTGGGATCAGTAAAATGGAGTCACTCCTGAGGGGATCCAGGCCTGGCTTCACTTCTTCGATGCCATGAGACCCTGGACAGGTCACTTAATGCTCTGGAGCCTCACTTTCAACGATGGGAGGAATGACATTAAGAAAAACAGTGGTCTCCTAAGTCAGCTGCACAGTTTTATAGGAAGGGTCAGCCTCACCAGTAAGGGCCCCAGAACGGTGGTCCCCGTGACTGAATTGTCATTGGTCACAGGACCTCTATTAGGAAGAGTGGGCCTCTGGGCAGCAAATGCCTCTGGTAAGTCACC